TCTGAATAGAATGTTCAAAGTTCTGTATTGAAATAAAATGTGTATTCAGAAGAACATACAGTAAGTTCAATTGTAAATTTTGTATAACTAACAGAGTTGTTGCAACTTGGCTTGTTCACAAAGCACTGATGCTGAATGATATTCAAGTTCTGTGTCTGTGTGTGTGCGTGTGGAGTGAGTAGAATGAATAATCTGTGTAGACGCGTGTGAGTAGTTGAGTTCTACTGTCTTCAACTGTCTTCAACTCTACTGTTTAATTTGGGAATCAATCCAGACTTATATTATTACCGGTAGGCTCCCAGCACAAACGTGGGATAAATTTTGAAAGAACATGAAAAATATCTGATTGGATGAAAAATTAACCAATCGGTGATTTTATAACACAAGCATGTTTGTGAGTTAACGGTAGGAAAAATTCAGTGTGGTGAATGCCACAGTAAATTGTCCTGTGATATTTAGTATTTATTATTTGACCAATCACAGTTGAGAAAAATGTAGACATGGCAAACATAGTAGTAATCACTACACTATAATCTATTATTTTTGCATATCTGATTTTTTTTAATATTAGCCTTTTAATTTAATTTTTCAAAATAAAACCTTCTTTTTTAAATTTTTATTTATCCTATAAAAACCAGAAAGAATACACACGACAATATAGAATAAAAAAAAAATTAAGAACTAAATGATATATCTATAATATTTTAAATGTAGTGTTGCAAAACCATATGGTATTATTAAAGCTGCAACAATGACACACAGTACTAACAGAGGGTTAAAAAGCCACCTGGATATTTTTTGTATGCAAAAACAAGCAAACAAACAAAGATTATCAACTTTTCAGACAAAATACATTTTATATTGATCTGAGATAAATTAAAATCTCACTAAAATGATAGGAACATAGATTTATCAAGAAATTATAAAGAAAAGAAAAATGGCGTGCAAAGAGTTTATAAACTAAGGGAAGTAACTCATTATGCTTCAACAAGATTAACTGGACTTGGTTATAATTATGATAAATGTGTGTAAGGAAATCTCACAAATTAAGAGCGCTTCAACGTGGAGTAATGAGCTAGTTAGCGAGTTCGATCCTTACTGGGTAAGCAATATTTGTGTCAGACTTATATAAAATATATACATCTATATATTCATTAAGTTATTCAGGGCTAGACAGATACTGAAGTAAATCAGCTATAGGGTTATGTTTTTGAAGGCTGTTATAGTTTGCTTTAATAAAGTTTGTTCATGAAAATGTATTCAAATTTGCATTCCTTCAAGCAACTGAGTTGATAATAGAAAGATGGTAATAAAAATATACTACAACTGAAATATAGAATCTGTAATGAAAATCATAAATTAAAGAATTTTGTAAACATATAAAAGTTATATGAATACAAATTTTATTTAAAAAAAATAATTATATATAACCAGAAGTTACAATATGTAGTTATCAGGATTATTCATAAAGTGTTTTCTTATTAGAATGTAAAATAAAATAAAAAGGGTGGCTTCCACCAACATAAATTTAAAGTTAAGATTTGTCTAGAGCATCTTTGGAGCAGACAGGCCAGTGGATAATTTCAGAAGGTAAGGAAATTTTGACAAGAAGCTGTAATAATTTTTAATAAAAATTTGGCCAGGTCAGGAGAGGAGGAGGCATGAAAATTTCAACCTGATGGCATAAAAATAGGGTTCCAGAAAGAAAAGCTATCTGTGGATGAGCTGAACTGTTTCTTACAGAAGAAGCAAAGGGAAAAACGAAGTGAAACCTGTGAACAGAACTGTGTTCTAAAAATGAAAAAAATTATTAAAAGTCCTAGTGATACAAATGAATTTGTCAAAGCCTTTCTGTTTATTCATCTTTCAATGAGGTAAGTGCATCATTTTTAAAAGTATTTTCAAACTTAATCAAAATTTTTTAATTACCTTCTCAAGGTTTTTTCCATTATTGGTAGTTTGTATTGTATATCTTTTTAAGAACCGAAATACTTATTTTGATCTGTTATCTGGCCTTGTTACTAAAAAGGCACACAAAAAGAAATTTTTGTGCAAGCCTATTTCATAAAAATTGTATTTTGTTCTTTGTTCTTCATGTCAGTGTTTGTTCCTTTTAAATTTAACATAGTAGTTATGAGTCTTGTTTGTTTTGGTATGTGCTTTTTTCTATAATCGAGATAAGAGAGGAGACATTGTCTCTTCTACCATTCCCTCCCAGGTAAAAAAATCTTTTTATATTGCCCTGTAAATGGGGCATAGATTACATACACTAGATCTCCTGCTTAAAGGTGTTGCATCCACCAGTTCAGCAACCAGAAGTCGATTAGCTCCCTTGACTGACAATGGTTTTGTTATGTACCTCCACGTACCAGTGTTTCTCATTTCTAACAAACTTTTTATGCTTCAAAAATTATGTATATACAATACATAAAAACTTGATCAACAGTTCCAGAATACTAGTAAGAACCTTTGCTTAAAGAAAAGATGTTTTCTAAATGTCTGTTTAATCTCTGAGGCAAAGAAATAGGAAAGACAAGCCATGTTCTGTGACCGTAACAAGCTTATATATATATATATATATATATATATATATAAAAAAAACATACCTCAGAAATCAAACTTCCTTATCCAAACACTACTACTGGGATCTGGTGGATAAGGGATTAACCCCACTTTTCGAATGGAGATACTTATCAAGAGCTAGAACCCATAATAACTTCCGTGATTGGTGTGATCTGTACATGGCGGAAAAAATTTTATTATTAAAGGTAAGAATCAAGATGAGTTGCTGAATCTTCGTAGTGAGATATTTTCTAAATGTAGACATAAGAAACAATTTAAAACATAAACACTGTTTTATAACGTGTTGTCACTTATGTCAGTTACATCTTGGTTCAATAACATCGGGCATGACATTTTAATGGAATGACTATTATGATTATCTATATATATCATTGTGTATGTTTATGTGATGCGCTATGTATTTAAATTTTTTTTTTTGAGACAAAATTTTTTAAATTTTACATTTTGATTTATATAGATATGTATATGTGCATACATGTGTGTGTATGTGTGTATATGTGTTTATATGTAAGAGTGTATATATATATGTATGTATGTATATATATGTATGTATGTATGTATGTATGTATGTATATATATATATGTATATATATATATATATATATGTATATATTTGTATGCATATATGGATGGATGTATATGTAGGTAGATGTGTATGTAGATGTGTTTATATGTGTGTGTATGTTTTGGTATGTATGTATTCATATATATCTGTATATGGGTGTATATGTATGTATGTATGTATGTATGTATGTATAGTTAGACAGATAGATAAAGGGATACATTGTTTATTTGTTTTGATGGGTGTATGTAATTGTATGGAGATGTAAGGTTTTATATATATATGTTTATGTGCACGTATGTGTATGTCCGTATGTATATATGTGTGTAAATGTATATATATGTAGGAGTGGATGTGTATGGATGTATGTGTATATGTATGCATGTGTGTATGTGTTTATGTATGTATATGTATATATATATATATATATGTGTGTATGTATATATGTGTGTGTATATATATATATATATATATATATATGTATGTATATGAATATATATATATATATATATATATATATATGTATATATATATACATGGGTATATGTATGTGTGTACACACCTATATGTATGTATGTACGTGTAAATATAAATATGTTGTTGTGTATGTGTGTATACGCATGTGTTTTTGAACATAGAAATATAGGTCCTTGCTAGATTAGATAATCATTATATTTGTTTTTTTATATGTTTATATTTTATTTGTAACCTGCAGTCGATATTAATTTTGTTAAATTTTCTTGATTACACAGCGGCCCTTTTATAAATGCCCTTCGGTTTTAGTTCCCCCCACCCCATCTCTCTCCCCCTCACCTTTTTCTTTTCTTTTCTTTTCTTCTCTCATCTTCTGATCTTTAAGATTATATCATCTATTATGTGTGTATGTCACCACAAAATGTATTCTTTCTGGTTACATCTTTAATGTATTAGACATACGAGAACATTCATATTTCTCTCACTTAAACCGTCTTTGACTCCCCTCTTTAAAACTTCTTTCTGTTAAATTTTAATCCCCCCTTCATCTTTAGACCTTCCTGTTCTTCTCTTGTCTGTTACCCCTCTCTATAGCTTTCATTTACTCTAACATTGGTCCCACACTCTCATGCATACACTCTCACTAAATTTTATTTTTTATTCCCGGAGTTGTTTTTTCTGTTTTCTTTTTGAATTTGTAGGTCTGATGAATTGGATCGTATTTACGATTCCAATAGAATAAATTATGACCATGGAATATTAGTATTTAAGCCTTTTTATTATATCCTTACTCTGTCCTGGACATTGAGTTCTACCTGGATTCTATCCTTTTGGAATTATTTTTTATACAAATATATATGTATGTGTATGTATGTATGTATGTATATATATTTAGATATTTTAGATATATGATTGCATATGTATGTGTATATTTACCACTATTATTATCAATCTTGTATATACACACACAGAGAGAACCTTCTTGGACTGCTGTGGGCTCTTTCCACCCCCAGAAAGTTCCACCCAGAGTGTCAGGAGGAGAATATTTTGCCACAGAATGGATACTGTTGTGGCAGCTGCTCCATGCTGAAGCCTCTCTCTCCCTTGATTGTCTATGACCAATTAAGTACAGAGAAAGAGACTAGTGGCCTGAGTGGAAACACCCAAGTTCTTTACATTAAAAATGACCTTGTGTCACATCCTTGTTCCAGTGGGGGTCTAAGTTATATACCGGCTCCCCCCACCCACCAGGGTTACGTGCTATCCTGTTATCACGACTATTGATCGCCTCCCTGACTGAAAGGGTTTCTTGTAGAAAGTAGAAGCAACTTCCACCTTTTGGTGATTCAGTGATGCAGACCTCCTTTCTGCTTTTTTGTTCATGTTTGCTTTCTTTTCTTCTTTTCACCTCTTCCTTCTTAGAAAGGTGCAGTTACTGCCTTTCCTTTTCTATTCTCTCTTTCTCTCTCTCTCTCTCTCTCAGGAAGATGCAGTGAATCTGCTTTTCCTTTCTTTTCTTTGCCATTGTTCTGAATTTGACAATCAAGCATCTCTCTTTTATTTCTGTTGAGCAACCTCTGCTTTGTTTGAATTCATTCTTGTTGTTTTGTTAATTTATTCATTGTTTTTACATGTTTTCTTAACATTTGTTCACAGAAACACCATCATGATAGCCTATGCTATCATCTTTGATTACTTAGTGTTATATTCTGTGCTAATAGGAATATATACTTGAAAAACATGGTGGATAAAATAAGTAAAGGTTTATTGTACAAAACCAGTGCAATAAGAATAAAGGTAACAGTTATGCACAATGTCATCGCAAGTCAATCCAGTAATGAGTGCTACTATTGGAAGGTCGGTAGTTCTCATGTGTCTGAGTCATACTCAACAGATCCCAGCTAGTATATTTAGCTACCACCCCACAAGGGTTGCATGTGGCACAAGGCCAGATTAACATGAGTTCTCCAAACCCATAGGCTCGGCCAAAAATATTCCTTTTTTGAACCCACATAAACGGGTTCAGGGTCACTCTACCTCCCCGAACGAGAGACTGCACTTCGGTGGAGCCTCATTTGGGTTCCTCTCCGCCCAAAAGCAGAGAGTTCAACTGTTTAGCTGGAACAGGTCACAGCTAGTATATTTAGCTATCACCCCACGAGTGTTGCATGTGGCACAAGGCTGGATTAACACGTGGGTTCTCCAAGCCTGTAGGCTCGGCAAAAAATATTCCCCTTTTGAACCCACATAAACGGGTTCAGGGTCACTGTACCTCCCCGAACGAGACTCTGCCCTTCAGCGGAGCCTCGTCCGGGTTCCTCTCTGCCCAAAGGCAGAGAGTTTGACTGTTTAGCTGGAACAGGTCGCAGCTAGACTCTGTAGTATGTTGACTTACAGATACTTATAGATAGTTAAAACCTATACTGTTGTCACTCATGGGGGTGACAGGTTATTCCATTACATCGCTTAGCAACCACATTTCAGCATTCTTTTTTATTAGCACACCTCCATATTGAATTCTACTTAGCAACATGGCATCTTGATTTGGTTTCCTGCCAATTTTCTGGATTTACATAACAACATACCATATGTTGCATCTTCTTCATCCCGCACACCACCATTTTTGGATTTTACTTACCAGTCCTAAATCACTTTATTCAAGTGATTTCTTTTGAGTTTAACTTATCCTTTCATCAAAGATCATAACACACAAACATTTCCAAAAACTTACCACTTGCATGTGGTTACCATGCTCCTTTTTCTGGGCTACTAAATTAACCACATTTGCATATCTACATATTCACACTTTGGAACATTTTTACATATTTTTAATATTCCCTGCTCACCACCAGGTGGTGACTCCTTTTCAGTTCTTATGAATCAACAAATATATTTATAATTAAGTTTTTGGACAATACTTCCCCATTCACATAAATACAATAGTAAATATTGTATGTTGGTCTGTAGTTGGAGATTTGTCTCCAGCTGTGCTGGTCAAACTCTCTGTCTCCGGGCAGAGAGGATCCCCAGGTGAGGCTATGTCGAAGGGCAGAGTCTCATCTCGGGAAACAGCTACCTGTTTTATACAGGGTCTACAGGGAATTTTTGGCTGAGCCTACAGTCTCACATACCCCATATTAAATTCAGTTTTGTGCCACATCTGACTGCGTGGGGCAGTTGGTAGATATCCTGCAGTTGGAGATTCATTGTGGAATTCACTTGACTCACTTCTAACAGTTGACTATGACTTCCACGTGCCACTGGCAAATCTTATATGTGTTGTTCTTCTCCTAAGTATTATCATTCATTACCAACCTTTGTGTGATTATTCTATTCAGTAACCTTCCCTAGGTTATAACACTTTAATTTGCTCATTTTACAAAATCTTAATTTATATAGATTTTTAAAGTTTTTTTTTTATAAACACACCTTCAAGAAATTGTTAATAATAGCAAAATGCTTATTTTTTAACTGAAATATAGAACCTGTAATGAAAATCATGTTTTCATATTTACATGTGAGTTTACATTCTTTGTTGTTATCATAACGTTTCAGTTGCTGTGCCCTCCAGCCTTCATCAGGTGTATGTTGATTTGGGTAATCTACAGGGAATTCCAAACCAAACCCTTTATTTAATCTATGAAGATAGACTGTTCTCATTCTAGGGATGTTTTTTTTTTTTTTTTTAAAGTCTTGCTCAGTTATTGCTCACTCTGTTTCCAAGTATACACTGCCCAGCCCAGAGATTGAACTCATAATTACTATAATCCACTTGGCTATTTTTCTCTGTGGAGAACTTTGAGCCTTAAGTTAACAGGTAAGTTAGGTTGGTTTGAGAATTTGGTGACATAGTAATTGTGAGTTCAATTCCTCAGCTGGGCAGTGTGTACTTGAACTCAGGGAAACAATAACTGAGCAGTACTAAAAAATAAGAACTAGACACGGTATCCTGAGATATGGATAGTGGAATGAGAAGTCTGTAATGAGCCGGTGTGTGTACACATTGTGAGTTAAAAGTGTCCTGAAATAGCCCACTACAAATATGGTGGGCTTATGAGGAGTCCACCAAAAGAAATATAAAAGGAATGTGAAAGAAAACAACAAAGACCAGTATATATATGTACAAACCAATATAAACCCCTCAACATTTCGTTCTCCAACATCTGTGGCATTAGAACAAACTTCTGCAGTATGGAATCTTTCTGCAAACTGCCCAGATATACTGGCTCTCTGTGAGACCAACCTTGTCTCATCTATCCCCTCCTCTGATCTCTCGATCACCGGCTACCTTCCTCTCCTCAGAAAAGACTCTCTAACCTACATGCACGTCCTTGGTGTCTACATCAAGGACCATCTCCCTCTGGCCAGAGAGTTGTCTCTCGAATTGCCAGACCAGTCGTAAATGTGTCTCTGACTATCTTTTCTCAATGCTGTAAGCTATCTCTTCTTCCTTTATCGCTCTCCATCCTAAGCGATAAAGCTGAGGATATCCTAGCTACCATTAAATTATCGTTGAGGACTCGGAAAACTTCGACATAGTCAAACAGATTTGACCACCACTTCACGGCCAGTACAAACGTAATTTATGAACGAGCGATGTTCAACAAGTCGCTGCTTCAAAGCAACAAGAAGGTGAGTCCCATAGACGCTTTTTTCGATGACTGACCGACACGTGTTAGCAAAAACATGCGATTTTAAGGGCTTGAAGGGACAAATAGGATAGATGTAGACGTCTAATTATACGAGACAAATAAAAGATAGATAGTGGGAACAGAAATTTCCTATTTGAGACGTATGAAGATTCAAAAAAGATATAAAAAAAAGTAAATGGATCGAAAGATGAGGATATAATGATAGAGATTACCAAAAAAAACATAATTATAAAAAGCGATGAAAATCTCAGGACAAAACATTTGGGGAAGGAAACAAGGAATGCCACCGTTGTGGATAACAAAAAAAAAAATGAGTGAACCATTCAACAGTTGTTAGGTGCGCGCCATCTTAAGGGCAACATGTCAACTGTAAAGCAGTTGCCATACCACACACAGTGTTGCAAGTCAAAGAAGGTCCACGAGGTACAATATGACGAAGACTACCCATACAGCAGCGACAACACCACCCTAGGGCTATTGACAGTGGATGAGATTAAGTAGAACAAACCATGGAGGATTGAACTGGCAATAAATAATAAGCCAGTGAAATTTAAAAATAGACACCGGGGCTGATGTCACTGTTATACCAGAACACACCTATAGAAAAATGAAGTTACCGGCACTGACAGCAGCAACAGAAACCCTACATGGTCCACGCCATAACCCCCTAAAAGTGACAGAAAAACTAAAGGCAACCACAAGGAAATAAAGGACGACAAACAATACAATCCATTTATGTCATCCCTAACCTTGAAGAGCCACTATTAGGAAGACCAGACATCGAGGCACTAAAAAATATTGGCGATAAACTCTGCAGTGCTTAGTATCAGAAATACCAACCATAAACAAACGTTTGATCTGATGAAGGAGATGAAAGGCTTATTTCAGGGCCTTGGCCTGTTTGGAAAAGACTACGCCCTAACCCTATGTGAAGATGCTAAGCCCTATTCCATCCCAACGTCACGTCGTGTACCCCTAACATTAATGAAGGAAATACAGTAAGAACTCATAAGGATGGAAAAGATAGGGGTGATAAGCAGGGTAGAAGAGCCCACAGAATGGTGCTCACCCATAAATATGTGTTGACCTGACAAAACTAAATGCATATGTTAAAAGGGAATTTCATATGCTACCAACTGTCGACTATGTACTAGCCCAATTGGATAGGGCCCAAATTATGTCCATACTAGACGCTAATAGTGGATACTGGCAAATCCCTTTATCACGTGAATCCCGCCAATTAACGACCTTCTGTTAGGCAGATTCCAATTTAACCGTCTACCATTTGGAATCACATCAGCCAGTGAGGTATACAAGAAACGGGTGTCAGTCATATTAGAAAACTAAGAAGGAGTAATATGTATGCTAGATGACATAGTGGTATACAGGAGGAATCAAAGGAAGCATGACAAACGATTAAAAGCCACATAGAAGAGAATATAAGCAGCAGGGATGACCCTAAATCCCCCCAAATGTGAGATTTCTAAGACCTCGTTAAAATTCTTAGGACATTTACTCGGCATTGAGTAAAGACAGGGTTTAAAGAGTTTACAACTTCCCAGCATCAAACAACATAACAAAGACTTGCAGGTTTTTAGGAATGGTAAATCAATTGAAGTTCATACCAAACCTAGCAGAGACGACAAAACTCTTACGGGACTTAGTGAGCCAGAAAAATGCTTTTGTATAGCAAAATGAAGAGAAAAGAGCCTTCAATTCTATAAAAGAAATTTTATATTCAGCGCCAGTCCTGTCACTATATAGCCTCCCCCCCCAAAGATCCCTGTTATCCACTGATGCCTCATCTTATGGCCTTGGAGCAGTGCTTATACAGCAACAGGAAGACGGGAAACTGCATCCAGTAACCTACGCATCAAGAGCCATGTCAGAAACTGAAACCTGATATGCTCAGATCGAGAAGGAAGCTCTTGGGGATGTGAACGGTTTTTTGACTACCTAATAGGGTTAGAATTTACAATCGAGACGGATCATAAACCACTCGTACACCTTCTCGGCAACAAGGACATAAACGAATTACCAGCTAGAATACAGAGGTTTTGCATTCAGCTCATGAGGTTCAGCTTCAAAATCCACCACGTTTCCGGCAAAAACTTTTACCCTGCCGATGCCCTATCAAGAGCAAAGCCTAGCAACATGCCGACCAATCAGGAAAAAGAACTGAGGGCAAGTTCAACAATGTTCATCCAAGCCATCATGAACTCTCTAGAAAATGATTGACGGAATTAAGGGAAGGAACCAGCAACATGATGACACAGCACACACATTAAGAACTACGTCAAAAAGGGGATGGCCACAAAAAACAAGTTCCAATGCGCATCAATCCATATTGGGCCCATCAAGGAGAAATTACCTGGGAGGAAGGTTTACTAATGTATGGGACACGGGTCATAGTCCCCAAGTCGATGAGGCCAGAAATAATTGACAAGATCCACTCAGGTCACCAAGGCATTACAAGATGCCAACAATGAGCCCGTCAATCAATATGGTGACCAGGGTTGTCCGACCAAATAAAAACAAGGTAGAGAATTGTGAAACATGATCCAGGCTGAGACACCAACCAGCCGAACCATTAATGGCAACTAAACTCCCACCCAGACCCTGGTACACCCTGGCTTCTGACCTGTTTGAACTAAATAACCAAACATACCTGGTGGTGGTCGACTACTTCTCTAAGTATATAGAGTTCACCCAACTAAGTTCAATTACCTCAAAAGAGGTAATAGAAAACCTAAAACAAATATTCACCAGACATGGAATACCAGTGACCCTGAGAACAGATCCAGGAAGCCAATACATGGCTAAAGAATTTGCTGATTTCGCAAAAATCTGGGACTTTCAACACATCACAAATAGACCTAGATTTTCTCAAAGCAACGGAGCAGCAGAAGCAGCAGTAAAAATTATAAAGAACATACTGAGGAAAGCAAGGGACCCATATATGTCCCTGCTAGCCCAGGTAACTACCCCAATGGACTGTGGCTACTCCCCCAGCGAACTGCTAATGGGGAGGAGATTAAGAACCATCCGAAGCTACTGTCGCCCAAGTGGCCTAATTTCAAACTCATTCGGAATAGGGATGAACACAAGAAGGCTCAACAACAGCACACATACGACCAGAAACACATAGCAAGAGAAATGAGACCACTTGAATTTGGAACCAGAGTGTGGATTAGAAGCCCAAACACCCCTTCCAGGAAAGCACGATAGTTTGAAACGCCTCCACTCCACGATCCTACATTGTGGAAACGACAGCAAGGGATACATCCGACGCAACCGCCGACACATTATACCACAACCCCTCTGAGCAGGGAAATAAAAGCAGAAAACCCAGAAAGCATCCACAACCCTCAATGGACAAAACTGAAGAAATGACTCATCAACCAACCAGTCCCCCGAGCCACGTAACAACCAGGTCTGGACGAGTTCGAGACCACCCACCCACAAGACTGGACATAAAATGAACAATAGTCAACCTAAGAAGGTGAGATGTTGATATCTATCCATCTAATCTGGACGGAGTGATTCCCCTTTGAACAAACATGGCACTCGCCATTTTGATATTTAAACACACGTGTTTTGATTCGTTCTTCATTTACGAACACAATACTGATAGTAGTTGATCTTATAATCTGTTTTGTATATCTGTATCCTTGGAAGCAAATCTTTTCCTTTATTACTTAATATGACTTCCATGATAGTGTTGTAGTAGAGCCACTGAGATCAATAGTGTCTATAGCGTAGCATACTTGACGGTTCCCGGACAACTGAATCAGAAGTAAAAACAAGTGTCCTCTGATTAGAAATTTAGTTTTGATGTAGGGGGTGGGGAGACGGTAAAGTTGTGAGTTTTCAAACAGTCGATGATCGAACTATAAAATTTTTGTTCTCAATGATATATCCTCATGAAAAATTAATCGGTCAAAAAAAGAAATATCTACGTTCTTGCGGGCTTGAATAAGGTAATTTGCTAACTCTTTTTAAATCACCAAGGCCCCCATGAAGGTTGTTTTTTTTTTTTTTTTAATTTTCTATTACTGTCTTCTTGCTTACCAAATTGCGTCTAAATCACCGTTTCTGGCGAAAACGAAATATAGTTTGTTTACATCACTGAGGCTAGTATTCGAGTCTAGGTGAGAACTGATTTTCTAGCCGGTCGTTTGTACTTAAAGAAAAAAAAAACAAGCGTAATACAATCTTTCTTATATTCAAATCCTGTGCCATCTGGCTTTCATGCAGTACCTTCAGAATCCTATTGATGTGGATGACAGCGTAAGTTTTTAGTGTCACGTGTGCAAGGTAATCCGTCAACCTTTATATGGGGGAGTTGTATAGACGCATTATTGCTATCAATAACTAAATAATAACCTTTGTGTGGAGAGTTATAAGAGAAGCTATTCCGATTCCACCAGACTTCGCTGGTAGTGGAAGCGTGTGTTTTTTGTGTCGGTTAGCGGCGATTCAATCGGGGGAAAAGTTGGCTGTGTTTCTGATTTATTTGCTAAAACGAATTCACAAAACCATTTTTTTATTGTATTAGCCTCCGACTACACTGTCAGGTGAGTTTTTTTTTTTTTAATCCGTTTATGATCATCGAAAGTTTCTTTGTCAAGCGTGTCCAGATTTCCAAAAAATGCTTTCACTGCGATGATGTAACTTTTTTTTGCCTTTATAAGTGGAAATACAAGTTGAAAAGTTGCATCAGCCGTTCATTTATTTATTTATTCTCGCGCCAATTTGGAGTTATTATTATTAAAATATTTTTAAAAGTCCTTCACCTTCATTATTAATTTTTCTTAAATAATAATTTATAGTTATGTTTCAGTTTCATCATTTCATTTCATTTAAAATAAAATTTTAGAGAGTTTAATTCTGATAAAGATTTAAGAAAATTTTAAAAATATTCTTCTCCGCCAACTCTATATAAAATTTTTATTATGTATTTATAAGTAAAGTTATAGTAGTAAAGTCCCCAGTCGATAAATCAACAAATTCCTTAAAAAAAAAAAAAAGATCTTGTTTGTAATTTTAAAAAATTCAGGCAAGGTAAATATATTTTTAAATCCTTTTTTTTTAATACTTTTTCCCCCTATATTTTTTGTTTTGACTTTTTGACAATGTTTATTTTTTTTATTTGTTAAATATCGATAGTGCCCAGTTTTATTTAAGTTTACCATATGAATCATGAAAAAAAATCGTACAGTTTTACTCTTAACTAATTTTGCTGTCGTGGTGGAAATTCATTTTTTTTTATAATTGCAAACAGATGGGAATTTCAGTTAAATTAATTAAGAAATAAAAATTAATTTCTAATTTTTACTTTCCTTCTTAGCCACGATTTTTTTTAAAAAAGAGGATAAAACGAAAATAAGCCCAGAAATAATAATTATTTAATTATTAATTATTTTAGTCTCTCTCTACTCTAGTTATTCATTTTAGGTTCATTTATTCAACTTGTTTGTGTTAAGTTTTTTTTTTGTTTTTTTTTTTTTTACTTTTATTAATGAAAATGTTTTTTCGGGTATGTTAAAAAAACGTTTAAAATGTAAAAATGGACGATACCCTATTTTAAAATTTTTATTTACAATTTTTACACTAGTGATTAAAAAATAAAAACAACCCATATGCTTAAAGGCTAAAAATGTATGATTTGGTTTATTTTTTAAAATGCTGTATTATCCACACATTTTTTTAATAATCAATGACGTGTTTTTTCATGTTTTTGATGAAAGAGAAAATGAATTTATTGCGCCTGCCGTAGAGCGATGGCTAGCAAACTCGTGTTTCAAACTAATTTGCAGCTCATTTTTTTTTATTTAAGCTAAAAATGTTATAAACATTCTGTTTTAATTTAGTTTCGCATTTTTTACTTGCTATAAAAAAATAATTAATTCAGGAATATCGGTAAATTTGCTGACCAATTTTAAAAAATGCATTATTCCTGGTGTAATAAAGCCTGATTATTACAAAAATAGCAATAAAAAAATGAGGAAACTCTATCGTCTAGGAGATATTGCCAATCGTAGTTGAGTCCCGGGTTCAGCATGGCCACCTCAGTCAGGAATCTGTGAAGGAACTCGGTATGGTGAGGGATTGACCTCAGGAACATAAATCGAGCAACATTGCTTTAGTTAGGAAAACAGTGGAGGCCAGGCTGTACCCGGGTCCCAACTAAGATTGGCAATATCTCCTCTAAACGGTAGAGTTTCCTCAATTGTTATTCATTGCTATTTTTGTAATAATCGGCCATTTTTTACACCAGGAATAATGCATTTTTTAAAAAAATTGTCACTGGGGACATTATCTGCAAAGTTACCTGAAACTGTCATTACAACTGATTTATCAAATTCAAATCAATAGTTTTGAAAAATGGCATCCAGCAAGTGAAGCTTATATCTTAGCGAGGACCATCCTATTTTGAACCTCATAAACTGGCGCTACACAATCACAAAGAACTGCACCAAATAAGAGAAACCACATCACTTGAGGACTTTCAAACAATAACAAAAATTTTTAGCAGATGTAACTCGAAGAGAAAATAAATCATAATGATGACGTTCCTCACTACTTCAAACAAAAGGTTAGGAAGGAAACTTGTATCAATAAAGGAAAGAGCAAACATAATAGTAATACTAATAGTGGTTTTAAGAAACCTATTTCCCTGAATAATTGTTTCAATAGAAAAAAAATTTTTTAGATTTCAATCAACAGTAGCAATAATGCTGATAGTCAATAATGAATGCTGAATGTTTATTTAGGAAATGTTAAAAATATCTGCTTTCCGATTTTTGCTTGTTTTGATAACCAACCAGTAAGACTTATCATTCCCACTTCCCTCTTTTTCATAAGCTGATTTTGTATATAGTGTGACCCTTTAATCTTTTTGCATGAATTGTAACCCCCCCAGCACCCTCCCAAAAGATTTTCTTGTGTATAGTGCCAAGAATGCATCAGTTTTAACCTCTGCAAAAAAAAATTACTTGTGTATATTGCAACCCTGTTTTGTTTTTTTTTGCATAAAAAACTAATCATAAAAATTTGCACTATTTTCAAGTGTGTGTATATGTATATATATATATATATATATATATATATGTGTGTGTGTGTGTGTGTATGTATGTATGTGACACATCTCTGAGTAAACATCCCTGGGGTTTTTTTGGGCGGGGGAGTCTAAGGAATTAAGAATTTTATTTATGATCCAATGCTTATTCTTACTATTGTTGCGAGCCGTGATTAGGTCAGTGTTTGAGTTAAGAAATAAACACATGTCTCCTGAAATACCCACAACAAAATGAATGTAAAAACCTTTTTTTGTTCAAGTATGTATAGTGAGTGAATGTGTGTGTGTGTATGGTTTATGTGTTTCCCAAAGGGAACACATTTTCTGCAAGAGGTTTACATGTCATTGTGCAAGCGGAAAAAGTAAGAGGAGGCTACAAAAAATTATCGCGGAGTATTTACAATCCAGAGAGCATCTCCTAGGAGCAGTTTCAAAAATTAGGAAGGTTTAACCTGGCGCTGTATAAATGTATGTTTGTCTTTGATGCAAAAATAAAGTTATACACATTTCTTAAAATGGGTAATTGAGCTTTACTTTGAAGTCTTTCGAGGTGATAGATTTCCTTTCTTAATTCATCTTCAACGGTGCCTTGCATAATGGTCTTTCACAGGCTGTCAGACACGTTACAAGGCATGACATTCTGTGTAAGACCATCATGCTAGGCACCATTAAAGGTGGACATAGGAGAGGATGCTAACGCAAAAACTAGTTGGACAGAGTTAAACAATGGACAGGTATGACTATACTAGAATTGCTGATGGCTACCATTGTGGAGGAGATTCAGTGTGGCTTCTGCATTCAGATCCCCCCCTATGATTACAAATGTCAAGAGGATGATGATTATGATAGGGTTTTCTTTACTGGAAACTTTGGAATAAAACTGAGTCAAATGTATAAGATAAATAATATATTTTTATTTATTTCTTTAGAGTGAATCTTTTTGGTATTTAGTGTAGCAAAATATTCGTTTCTAAGGTGGATATTGGTATTAGCTTTGAGAAAGTCCAGTAGTGTAGTTTTGAAGTTAGACTGTGAGAGGGGTAGTAGTAATATTACAAATAGGTCAGTGTCAATCTCTGTGTTTTTATTGGCCCTAAGCAGGGCAGAAATATCATTATCAGATGACCTCTTAACTACTTCTTCACACATGGCTGTTTAGCATCTTTCATTGTCATTATTGCCATCCCTTCTGCTTCTTGCTCAGAGGTATCAGCCTTTTGACCAGGCTCGGATTCTGGTGAGCACTAATATTAACTTCAGCTAATATAAAAAAAATCTCTTTATGTTAATCTTTTTGATTGACCAAAATTATTTTATTTTTTGGTGTTCCTCTCCTATTCATTTTTTTTTTTTTTATATAACTGACTAGCAGTAGGACCCGGCGTTGCCCGGGGATGTAACAGTAAGAGATAGATCAAGTATCGACCATCATAAAGACTGAAAAATAAAATTGACAAAGATTATTGTTTAAGGTTGACGGACACGCATGTCTTAATAAGTTTTTTTTTTTTTTTTTTTTCTAATTGGTCAAACCCAAACTCAAAAAAAACATTGTTTTCAATCGTTATGAGTCTATCGATTGAATAGAATTTTATTGTGAATGTAAAAATAAAGAAAAAAGTGTGCAAGACAATAAGAAACACTACCTGCCAAAAAAAAAGTGAAGTTTTGTTGAAATCGGTTGAAAAATGTAGGAAATCCGATCCCATATGTAAACGAACACACACACACACAAACAGCCTGGGTTTTATAATAAGTATAAATCAATATGAGTTGTCCCCCTTTCATTCTTGCGATGCCTCTTAGTCGTGTTTTCAAATTGATTTCGTGCAAAAAGAATTGTGTTTTTCCAAATTTTGGCGCTGTCAGAACCACCGCAAGGTAATTTTACGTAGTCCTGTGAAGTTTTGTTGAAATCGGTTGAAAAATGTAGGAAATCCGATCCAATATATAAACATCCAGACACACACACACACACACACACACAACCTGGGTTTTATAATAAGTATGATTTTTGTTAGTTTTCAGTCATAATTTAGTAGGCTGTGTTCCAGCAAACTTCCCGTATATTTTGTCTAGGCTCGGTCTTCTTCGTCTTTTTATTTGAGAGAAGTATAGAAAGAGAAGTTCAGAGAGAGAAAGAAAGAGATAAGGGTTTTAAAGGAAAGTGCAAATGTGTTATTTTAATTTGAATCCTTTTGATTTTTTTTACTGGGACTCACAACACTTTCATGTCCGAGTGGTTTAAAGCACACCTGGTTTGAAGGTGGTTTCCCCAATATAAAGAGGGAAACTGTTTTGATCCTTGCCAGATTTCTTTATTAAAACTTGAACATGTGTCTCCACTCTTTTTTTTTTTTTTTAAGCATTGTGCCCCAAGCAAGGCGTGAAGCCACTAGGGTGCAGGGTGTTGTGGAAGATTTGGAGCGAGAGCAGATAAGAGTGATAGGAGAAAGGAAGAGGAGAAGGATAGTGGGTAGATCAAGGTAATTGGAGATGTCGATTGACATTACATTTGAATAGTTGGAGATTATAGCTTTCAGGGAAACAGTAATTGGGGAGGGTGTTCCACTGGCAAGAAGTGCTGGTATGAAGCTATTGGAGTAGAAGAGACGGCTACATTTGAAGGTTTCTACGGTGTAAGGGGTGAGAGCGGGATGCCAGCCTCAGAGGGGCGCTTGAATTCATGGAGTCTGGGAACCAGTGAAAGCAGCTCATCAGAGCAGTTACCATGGAAGTATTTGTAGAAAAAAGACAGAGGCGACCATTCGCATGAGAGAGTGACTGCAGACAAGACGCTAGATCAGGGCCAATTAGATTACATATCCGTCTGGATCTTGTCAAGAACTCCGAGGTAAGCAGAAGGTGCTCCAGCCCATATATGGCAGCAATACTCCATGCAAGGGCTAATGATTGTTTTGTATATTTGAAGTATCGATTCAGGGAGAAAATTTCCTGAAAGCACACAGAGAGCCAACTTTCCTCGCAGTGGAAGAAGCAATTGACTCAATGTATTTGTTCCATCTCAGGTCAGCAGTCAGCGAGACCGAGCAGAGACGCAGGGAGTTGCTCTCAGGAAGTTGACTATCAGACATTTTAATGGGGGGCAGGGAAGGATCTCTATGGTGGTTAATGGAGAGTAATTTAGTTTTTGTATGCTTAAAGTTGACCAGCCAATTCTTGCCCCAGTTAACAAACCGATTGAGGTCCATTTCAAGACGCACGGCAAGGTTAGTTTTGTCGCCGACACTAGATTTGTTTTTGAGGCAGGAGTAAATTGTAGTGTCGTCTGTATAGATGCCGACTTGGTAATCTATAGCTTCAGGAAGGTCATTGATGAAAATAAGGAAAAGAGTGGGGCCAAGGATGGAGCCTTGGGGCACACCCATGTTAGTGGGATAGGAACTGGAGGAGAATCCGTTGAGAACGACCTTCAATTCTCGTTTAGACAGGAATGATTGTATTAGATCAAACAGTTGACCAGTAACACCATACCCTTGAGCTTACGGAAGAAGGGCCGGTGTGCCAAACCCTATCGAATGCTTTGGAGATGTCGAGGGCCACAGCACGAGCCTCACCGTTATTTTGAAGGGCTTGGTAGATGGTTTCAGTGATGGCCGTAAGCACATCAGCTGTAGATCGGGCGAAGCGGAAACCATATTGCTTGTCTGAGAGCAGATTATGGGATGTGAGGTGATTAACCACTTCGCATTGATTAGGGCTTCAAGACTTTGCGAAGAGGGGTAGGAGACTAATAGGACGGTAATTAGTGGGGTCAGAGGGGTCTCCAGAGTTCTTAAACACAGGAACAATGGATGAGGACTTCCAGCAGAGAGTAATTAACCATGGTTCAATGTAATTGGTAGAAATGCCCAACAAACAACTGACAAAGTTTCCAATGAACAATAAGAAAAGAACAAGTCAAAAATAATACTAAGCAAGCAATATATGTAAGCCAAAAGTAGGAAAATCAACAGTAAATGTTCACAAAGTAAGAATGGTGTTAACACACAAAGGATACAGACAAGTGATCAGTGTTCTGATTTCAAGACCAGAAAGAACAAGAATATGGGTGTGAAGTGGTTAATCATATTGGCTAGGAAGAAATCCCAGCATGCATCTGTACCATTAGGTTGGTGCAAAAATAATGACATAATAATGTCGTTTTTTGACGTTAAAAAATACGTCAAAAAACAACATTATTACGCCATTATTTTTGCACCAAAATTTGTCTATAAATTGGTGGGGAGGGCTTTTAGCAGTCCTTTCCACTTGGATTGAAACCAGCAAAATATAATATTTATTGTAATAAAAAATAATGTTGGATTATGAAAAAATCCCACAATTCCTTTTCATCTTTTTTTTTTTTTTTTTTTTTATAGCTTTATCAGCCTCCTGCCTTTCTTCCTTCACACCCTCCTTATTCCATTTTCTTCCCATTTAATATTGTGTAGCTGTCTTGATAAGAAAGCATGACCGAATCCAACTTCGTGTCTAACCAAGGATCAAACAGATACTACTCTCTAGTCCTGTATATACCTTCCTTTCCCCACCAATGTTTGTATGATGGCCAGTTTCACATGGTGTCCATACACTCATATGAATGAAAAGCAGAACATGTAATCACTGTCACACAGATGTCATTTCTTCTGATGTTCCTTCTGGAGGAGATTCTGCTATAGGATTGGAATCTCCATGGTTAAGTCACCCTTGTTGGTAAGTTATGAACTGCCAGGAGACAAAACTTAGCATTGATGTCTCACCCATGTAAAAAGCAGGGGAAATAGAACAGTTATTACACTTTGGTCCTAGCTAGAAAGCAAGAGATCTTACATTTGATTCTAGTTAGAAAATCATACAAACAAGCAGAATAATTAATAAGTTGGTTTTCTTATACACAATCCATAAACTGTAAGAAGTAAGTCTACCATTTGTCCTTGCTTTGAATATTGCTGCCACATCTGGTCTAGTGCTCTAGGTATATATTTAGAGATTTTTTTGGCAAATTATAAAGCAGAATCTGCAATGTTATTGGTCCTAACCTGGCATCTCAGCTTCAGTCACTTTCCCATTGCTGTAATGTAACTTCCCAGTGCCTTTTCTATAAATATTTTCATGATAATTGTTCTGAGGAGCTTTCTTTTATGGTATTATGGTGGTTGTAGTAAAAAAGGTACGAATGAATGTGTTGTTTTGGTGTAAGGAATATTGTTTCGTAAGATTGGGTCAGTGTTTGCGGCTAGCTAAGTTATAGTTAAGACAGAAGAAGACCGTTCTTTCCCCAATCCCCTTTTCGGCCTTGTGCCACATTTCTGTATTAAACAGAATAAATATCGCTTTCTTTTATGGTATCTAGATGTTTTTTTTTTATAAATTTAAGTGTTGTACTAGTTTGGCAAAAAGGTCTCCTCATTTTACAGTTGAAATGGTTAGATATAACGATAAGTTCTATGCTAAGTTTCTTCTGTCGCACTTCTCACTCGTGGCACTCTCTTCCAGCTTCTTACTTACCAATCAAATTTGATCTTCAAAAGTTTACATGTAATCTGAATCATTATCAACTGTCTTAATTTTTGTTCTTTTATTATTCTCTCCCCTTAATAGTTTTTTTTTTCCTTTTTTATATTCTCTAACACTCTTTGACCCCTTGTCTGTTGGTAGCTTTATTGTCTTACTTGGGGTGAAATGATTTAGAAATATATATACCTATATAAAAATGTAGAAATTGCTATTCACTGTTTCCATCTATTATTATTATTATTCATCTTTCATTTAAATGCACTGGTATTTCTGTCTATATTATATTCACAACAATACTAGTATATGCATGCACAGTATAATTGGTAATTTTAGATTGTTTTTTTTTTTTTTACCATGCTGTCATTATTTAACTTGCAGTTCTCAATATGAAGAACAACCTGACCAGTAGCGAGGTACGAGATTCATTCTTGAATTTCTTCAAGGAAAAAGACCACGAATATGTCCACTCATCAAGTGTGGTACCACATGAGGATCCGACTTTGTTATTTGCCAATGCAGGCATGAACCAGGTAAAAAAATAGAAAGTATATCTGTCTCTCTCTCATTTTATTATTATTAAATTCTCCTAACAAGAATCAATAATTATTAATTCTTATGTTTTATTATTAAATCTTATTAATAAATTATCACTTACATCCTTAAATAATTATCATATTCTTATGATTTGCTGCTCAAGTTCACCAGCTATGGAATCACTAGAAAGGTCTTCTCAATCATAAATTCCTTGCAGGGGCTTCTTGGACCAACCTTCTTTTTGATTTACAAATGATCTGCCTAAGAATATACTCAGATCATGATAATGATACAATGATATACAGATGCAACTCTAAAACTCTTGGTGATCAGAAATTGGCAGCTCATCTCTCATTCAGTCTAGCACTAACGTCTTAGTAGGGGAAAAACTGGTTAGTTACATTGATTGCCTTGAAAACCAAACTAGTTACATCCTATCATCTCTGATTGGACCCTGAACAACTGCCAGTCACAATGAATGGATGTCCCCTTGAGGAGGTTCCATGCCTTAAACTCATACTTGACTTCAAGTGCAGCTTGTACATATGATCCATCGCAAAAGATCCAGGAAAAATGATTGGCTCCCTGTATCACTCCAGTAAGTACCTGACTCTGCATTCTATCTTCTCCCCTTACAAGAGCCTGCTCAGGCCTAAAAATGGAGTACTGTTGTCATATTTGGGCAAGAACTGCCTAATCCGCACTTTCCCATCTCTCATATAGAGTCCAAAAGCATCTCTGGGTCCTTGTGGGTGTCAAATTATTTTCCAACCTCTCTCCCACAGGTGGGATGTGGCAAGCCTCTCACTGCTCTGTCGCTACTTCTGTAGAAATTGCTCAGACAAACTGTCTTTAGTTCTGCCAGTTCCAACCTTCATGGCAAGGATCCGCCATGCCACTCAACATTGTAGCAACTCGCTCACATTCTCTTTGTATTCCACTGGTGACAAGTAAGTTCCACTTGAACAGCTTTTTACCATGAACCACTTCTCTGTGGAACTGACTCCCAAGAGGATGTTTCCTTGATCACTACAATCTTGATCTGTTCAATTCTAGGGTTAATCATTATCTTCCTTTCCTATCCACTTAAACTGTCTCTTAATGTAATTTTCTACCTCATGTGGCTCTTGGCTTTGTAGAGAGTGAACCATACTGTAAAAAAAAAAAATGATGATTACTGTTCTTTTATTGTTCTCTATCCTTACTAATGTTTTTCTTTTTCTCATATTCAATCATACTCAGCAACCCCTTGTATTTTAGTGGCTTTATTGCCTTACTTGGGATGAAATAATTAAAAAAAGTTGTTTCCTCTGTGTTTTTAACTTCAGTTTATATCTTCAAATGTTTCAGTTTAAACCCATTTTTCTGGGGACTGTGGACCCTTCCAGCGACATGGCTAAATGGACACGAACTATGAATACACAGAAGTGCATTCGGGCTGGTGGCAAACACAATGATCTTGAAGATGTTGGAAAAGATGTATACCATCACACATTCTTTGAAATGTTGGGTAATTGGTCTTTTGGAGATTATTATAAGGTGAATGCTGAATTATTTGTTTCTTTCAAACTTGTTCTGGATAATTAATTGGTTGTCTGTCACAAGTTAGGCATCAATTTTATTTCCACTAGAATTTTCTTGCCACACACTTATGTGTGTTGAAATCCTTACTGTATTTAGTATTGTTGAAATTATTGCTAACTTTTTTTTTTTTTTAGATTTACAAACTCTGTTACATTCAATTTTGCAAATCAATCGAAGAATAAACTGATTTGTTTAGGAAAATGACAAAAACCCTACTTTGCAGTTTAATGATTACTTTAATTTAATTTTATAGGACTTCATGGTAAATAGTATTTTTTAAGAAAAAACAGCAAAAAATAAATTCTTAGGATTTCTTATTCTTGAGCAAGCAACAAACAACTGGCCTTATGTAAATATTTCTTTCTGGAGCCAAATTCCAACTTTTTTAAGTCTTATGATTTGTTCATAGTTCTCACAAATGCAGAGCAAACTGGATTCTTGTATATAAAACTTAGATATGCAAAAAACAATATTGCATTTTTATTAAATAAGTATGTTATTTTAATCATTAAATTGTTTTTAAAATATTGGGAATATTTTGTATGTTAAATAATAAAAATTAAGTTTTTCAAAAAAAAAAAATGAATGTGAATTTATTTTATTAAGCTACACACCTATTAAAATCAACTGTACTTTATACTCCTTTATCTGTTTGCAATTCTCAAAAAAATTGTTTCAATTGGTCAATGTATGGCTATTTTAGAGAGTGTGACAGACACACTCTTTAATATAGCCATACATTGACCAGAAGTCACAATTAAAAGTTTATATGAATATTTGTTTCTCCCCACTGTACCTCACACATAATGGTAAAACATTACCTAGATGAAGACACCATTGCCACTAATGTCTTAGCATTATGTGGGTGGTATTATGTCTGCCACATTCTATAAATATATACAAAAATAAATGAAAACAAGGAAGAACAAAGAGAAGGAAAACATTTTTTATCTGCAATTGTCTCTGAAGAATGAGGTGTAATAATCAGTTAGCTCTTCTTTTTATTTCTTTTTTGATCCACTACTTTGCGGTGAGTAATTTAAAAAATATTTATTATTCTTATGCCCCACCCCCTTTGTAAAAATATATTTTTGTAGATATTTATATATACTTTTATATATACTTTTGAAATGTCCATTTTTTAAAGCCCTAATAATAATTTGTACCTTCCACAGATTGTTCAATGTGGTTGAATAAATTCTATATTGCCTGTAAGTTTGGTCAACTGGCAGAATTTAAAAAATGTTAACTTTTCACAAAATTCTATTAATTATTTTGATCTTGTGTTGATTTTTTTTGTTTTGTTTTGTTTTTTTTTTCCTAAATGTTTGGTTTTTGTAATGTTTTCTATATAAAAATTAAACACTTCAATTTATTATTTATATTTATTTTTTATATTCAATTTCGGTCTTTTGTTCATGTTTTCCATCCAAACTTTCTTGGTCAGTATAATTTCCAAACTTAGAATAAATGACCAACTGGTTTCATTCACTCTAGTCATATTATTACATCTCTTCTTCAAATTTTCAAGCATTTTTTCTAATCAGTTTGTGGATGTCATGTGATGATCCTACACTGACGCCTGAATTAAACTCCCAAAACCCAGGGAGGTTAAGTTATATAGTGAACATTCTCTCTCTCTTTGTTTGTGACTATTACCCCTTTCTCCTCTCTGTGTGTGGAAAGCTAAAAGTAGTCAGACAAAAACCTGTGTAGTTTAAAAGAATTGATCCCTAGCAACCATACGGATTCTAAAAATAACTATCCATGTGGATTAACCTGTCTCAATATTCAAAATTGTGTATGAAAGAAATGCGACAACTCGGTAGGGGCAATAAAACTTGGGGAAATCATTATATGAGAGGATTCACCAAAATGAAGAGAAGGGATTCCCTCCCCAACTCACACAAACTCCCAGTTAAGAGAATACTTGTGTGACCAAATGGGCCTGCACAAAATTCAGTGTAGTCAGTGATGATCAACACGATAAAGATAATTTCCAAATGGAAAGTTATCAACCTTATGCAAAAGAAGCATAGGAGGAAAAATGACCACTGCTCATGGTTGAATATTGCCAACAGAAAAGGAGGAGATAAAGAATAACTCAAGGATGGAACATTTTTGCACATGTGAAGAGAAAAGTAAAAGACAAAACTCCAAAAATATAAAAGTTACTCCCACAAGAAAATAAAATGTTAAATATTATATAAAAATAGAAAAGAACAGAAAAAGGGAAAAAAGAAAGATATAGAGAAGTGAAAAAAAAATGTTTGATTTCAATCAACTGAAAAAGTTAAGTGATTTTTTTTTTTTTCTTCGTTCTCCTATCACGCACACATTTTTTACATTCACATATTCTTTCTTTCAAATTGTTTTATAATTAAAATTTCATTACACTTTATATTTTGTGTTTGCAGTTTATCTTTGTTGGTCTTTCTTATTCATGTGTTTTTGACCCTGTGAGAGAATATGCACTATTGTAGTGGGATCCAGGTCATGTCCTTGGCAACTGATCCACTTTTTTGTTTTTTTATTGTTTTTTTATTTATGTTGTGGCTTGCACAGGTTGTAACAGTAGCATAATAGTTATTAGTATCGAAAGTAGAATTGTTGTCAATTGTAAGTTCTGAGTCTGTTTCATTCACTTTGTACTAATGCTCTTAGAAAAGGCATGAATATATTTTCATGTGGTTGTCATTCCCCTAGACTGGCTACCAGCCAAGTCAGCTAGTCTAATAGGACAACTCTGAATTCAAAAGCAGTCTGAGGAGATCTAATAATTTAATATTGTGTGGATATATCATAAGGCATTTTCTTGCAGAAGTATTCAGTATTTTGCTGTAAGATATTTTGAAATTGACCAGATTATGAAGAATTATAAAGAGACAGGCTAAAATACTTCTGATAGAATACATGGGTAGGCTAAATATTTTTTTTTATTTACAATTCACATATCTTGCTCTAGATAAACTCACAACTGGGTACTCCCAGTGATCAGTTACAGGTTTTTGCAATTATCTTAGTAGAGAGTAAACAAACAATATAGCGAGATACATAGAAGAGAGAGGTGGCAAATATAATTGATAGTATCATGTTTAAAAATAAGCTTCTGTGTTGAAATTGATTACAACATTATCTGTTAAAGATGAGCTTTCAAGAGATGTAATGTGAGTTCAAGTTTTGTCAGAAGCTGTTCTTTTATTCTATCTTAGCACTAAGTAACTGTTTGGTGTGTTCAACTGAGGAAGTTGTGATGAAAAGCAAAAATAAGATGAAACGACAAGTTGAAAATGAATACTGAAAAATGCTTCATCTCTGAATTCAAATAATTGTTTAAATTTATTTTTAAATAGAAAGAGGTGTGCTGCTGGGCTTGGGAATTTCTCACAGAACGACTTGGCCTGGATAAAGATCGCCTCTATGTAACATATTTTGGTGGCAATCCTGATGGCGGTTTGGAACCTGATAATGAATGTAAAGAAATATGGATGAATCTTGGGTGAGTGTTTTTGTTTGTTTTTTTTTTTCCTCCTCTAACAATTCACCCAAGCAAGACAATAAAGCCACTAGGACACAAGGGATTACTGAGTGTTAGAGAATGAAAAAAACTATTATTAAGGAGAGAGGAGAATAAAAGAACAAAAATTAAGTAGACAGAAGATAACAATTGACATTGCATTTAAATTTTTGAAGATCAAAATTGACGGTGTAGAGTGAGTGGCTATAGTTACATAAATGACAGAACTGCCTAACAAACACAATTGACAAAATTTGTAATAAGCAATAAAAAGAAAAGAACGGCAAAAAGTAATATAAATGAAGCAAACAATATATGCAAGGTAAATTAATAGTAATAAGGCAAAGCAATAGTAATATGACAAAAAGTTTACAAAGTAGGAATTTAGTTAGGAACATAAGAGCAAATTCAGATAAACAAGCATAGACTTCTGACTTCGAAGCAAGACAGACCAGTAATGAGTCAGATGACACTTATCAAATCTTATTGGCTAGAAAGAAATCCCAGCATGCATTTGTGTGCTTCTGTCTATAAATTGGGGAGGAGAAAGTGTTTTACCTCCATTTCCCCAAGGATTGGAACTAACAGACTGGAAAGCAAGAAGCTGGACGAGAGTTTCACAAACAAAAAGTGTGAGAGAAGAATCTATTAGCATAATACTAAGGGTTAAATCTAGCCATTTCAACTGTAAAATGATAAGACCTTGGCGCCTATCTAGTAGTACGCTTAAATTCATAATGTCTAGGCATCACCATGGAAACTGTTAGGGTGGTGGGAAAAGGACTAAAGCTGAGATGCCAGGTCAGGACTAATAACATTGCAGATTCTTTGGATTTTGTAATAAGGAAATATCTTTATAATTCAAAGTATGTCCATACTTTGTTCAGTACTACTCTGAAAAACTAAGTTCTTATATATTCTAAAGAAGTAATATATCTTATTAAAGCTGGAGGGTGCATCTTTTCATTTCAATATTTAAGTAAATTATAAACAAATTAATTAACAAACGATGAATGCACACATAAACACAAGTAGATGTAATCATAATAATCTAACAAATAATAAAGTTATCAATAATAAATAATGAGTAAAAAGAAGTTAATAAGCAACATAAAATAGCTACAAATAACTATTCAGCTCCACAATTACTATTAAGATAATATAATAGGTACTTCCAAAGATTCACAATACCTAAGATTTAAAAATGAAGTTATTTTTTTTTAAGCTTTTATCTTAATTTCAATTTCAAGTTAATAGATTAAATTTAATATTTCCAATAAGCAAAATACTTTGCTGCATTTCAAAACTAATTTAAATTGACATGAAGGAGTTTTTGTTTTGAAATAGCTAAACATTGCTGATTTTTAGCGCCATCTGTCATTACAGTGTGATTCTCTTTATTAAAAAAATCTTTCAAAAATAAAATATACTTTTCTGAAACTTTATTTGAAGAATATTCACTGATTTAAAGATTAATTAATCTGATTTGAAACAAATACTACTTTTAATTTAAAATATTGCAGAAATGCATTTTTTAATACTGAGGTAGTTATTTATTTAAGGTGTTGACAGATTAACTGACAGGCAGAGGTTTAATTTTTTCTATGGTGGACATATTTGTAAAAATTACTTGAATATAATATGAGCATCTTTTTTATATAATTTTTAACTACCCAATAATCTTAAAAATTTAGGAAAATATTTATTGTAATCTGTTTTATTGAATTTCAGGTACTTTGGCTTTAAATTTACTATAGTTATCAGTCTTATTTTTTGATAATGTTGTATGAACATCCATCTTTACAGAAATTAGCACCTTTACATACACAAAAAAATTTAAATTCTTTTTAAAATATTGGGGGTCAATGAATCATGAGCTTTTCTATTTATGATTAGTAAATACAATTTTTACTTAATAACAATATCATCTAATCAGTACAAATTAATACAGAAATTTAAAAGATTTAAAACTTTATAAATTATTCTAATTCAAATTTTAAAAAAATGAAAACAATTTTTGTAAAAATTCATTATTCATCAAAAAAAAAAAACATTCCAGTCAAGTTCATTACATTCACTTACATGCTAATTCCCTTGGGAAAAGGCATGAATCCAACTCTTCTTTCTTCACCTATGAGTAAATAGTAGGACAGTCTTGGTTCTATAGCCTTGGGTGGCAGTCATCAGTCTAGAAGGAAAACTGAATTCCAAACTATATGTAGCCTTGGTGAAGCAAATACTATACAGCTAAGGAAAGGATCATTCGCATTGACTACATGATCCCGACTACAGTTGTTGTTTTTTTTTATCTTTTTAAATGGGTCCTAATTGAGCTATGATCTGAGAGATATAACATAAGTTCTCTTGATAAGCATGTAATGGTTATTCATGAATTTGGCTTGGTCAGGGATGCTGATTCCTTAAGGGGCATACATATACATATTCATAAATAATATTGGTCTTCTGTAACTTTGATCTTGCAGGTGACTTGCTCCCTTTTGTAAGGTTATTGTTATAACACACACTCGTACTTGTTATAACATAATTAGTTAACTATTCTTATACATAATGCTTAGGCTATTGCTGTATGCCTGTATAGTTAGTGTGAAGACTGACTCCAATAACTACTCACAATCTCGTAACATGGAACACTTTATAGTATTGACTAAATCTATAGTCACCAGAGGTGTATTCTTTACTCCACAACATCCTCTCTGCTTTTGAGATTACTACTTTATTAAATATTTATTTCGTATTTTATATCTCCCTCCTCTTTCTGGAGAGTTCACCAACATACTTGACTTTGTAGTGTTTCTGTCTCAAATCCACTTCTAGTTCTTTTGTACATTTTCTTTCCTTGAACTTGTCCTTGTTGGTTCCACAATTTGTTTTGGTTTGTAGAGCATTTTTGTCTGTTTCCAGCTGCTATTATGCCATCTTCCCATGTTTCCTTTCCATCCTTGTATGCTCTAAAGAATCTTTATTGCCAACCTTGAATTTATTGGTGTCACTTTTATTAACCATTCATGAATTTGGCAATAACTTCTAGAGCACTGATTTTTACCATTCAAACAAACATTAATTCAGCTGGTGACGTGCCTGATGATGGGTTAGGTGTTAACGAATACACTCTCAAAAAAAGTTTAAAGTGCCTCATTTAATTTGTCCAGACTTGCTTTTTTCAATGCTCTTTTGAACATTCACACAGACCATTCCACTTGTCTGTTAGACTTTGAGTGATATGGTGGAGTTCTATAGAGAACAACTTGCAAAAGTTTTGAAATCTTTTTCCAATGAATTGTGCTCTATTATCTGGTACGCCATATCTTGCAAACAATTCATACAAGAAATTCACTGTCACTGAGAATCCAGGATTTTTGCACTTGTAAATTCTCGGTCAATTCATAAAACTATCAACTACCATGAGGTAATATGCTCCATCCATAGGACCTGCAAAATCTATATGCAATCTTAACCACAGAGTGTCAGTTTTTGACCAAGTTTCTATCTTTGTGATAGGTAGTTTTGCTGCTAGAGTATAATCTTTGCATGCTTTTACTGTTTTTTCAATATCTTGGCTCATTCCTGTCCAATATACAAAACTTCTCATGAGAAATTTCATTTTTGAAATGTTAGGATGTCTGGAATGGAAATCCTTTAATATACACCTTTGTAACACACTCAGTATTACAATTCTTTGTCCATGGTTTGATGATATATATAATTATACAAAATTATATCATTTAGATGTCATGATGATAATTTATTTCCTTAGAACCAAGATTTCTAAGGAAATAAATTATCATCATGACATCTTAAAGTCATCTTTTTCATAATAATATTTAATGTTTGGTCTGTTTTTACATTGAGCTCTCTGGATTATATCCTCTTTGGCATTATCTATATGGATTACCAAATAATATCATTATTTATTTTATATATATATATATATATATATTACAGTAATGAATCTGTAGATAATATTTGACTTAATTTAATGTCACATTGTCAGTTACTAATTTTCTGATTGCATTTCTTTAATCTTAATTTCTGTTTCTTTTCATTCTATAAACATTAGTAAGCAGCACAAAACAAAAATAGCCTAGTGTATTAAAACATTAGTTGGTGACAAAAAAAATTGTGAGTTCAATCTCTGAGCCAGATAGTGAAAACTTGAACTCTATAGAATCAAGTTGAAAAATAACTGAACAGTATGAGATACAAAGATGAGGACAATATGAATTATTTGTGAATTATGTCAGAGAATATTCTTTTGAATTGTGATGAAAGAAACAGAAATTAATATTAGAGAATGAAAAGAAAATTAATAATAATCAACTCCAGTTGAGCATAAAGCTGTGATATACCTTACAGGGGAGCCCGTGAAGGACTTTAGTTAATGAGTCTGTAAGTAGTAAAATGAATGGCATGGTGGAGTAATGGATAGCAGCTTGGATTGAGGAATTGGAGAGCAGAGTTCAAATTCCAGTCAAATCCATTACATTCACTTATGTGCTAATACCCTTGGGAAAGGTATGAATTCACCCAGCTATGGGTAAATAGTAAGACAAATGGGGTTCTATAGGCTTGGATGGCAACTGGTCTACTGCAGAAAAATATGGCAACCTACTGCTGAAAAAATCTGCCTCGTCAGTCACCTAAGCGTGTATCATGCATGAGACATAACTGACTGAAGTAGTAAAATAACTTTGTTTTGAGAAGTGAAGGCATAAGTATAGTACCAAACTACTGTAGGTACAAAATATTAGGGTCAGTCATAAATAATTTCCTCTTTTATTTAGCAACTTTCTTCTTAAAAAAAAAAAGGAAAAAAGTAGAATTATATTTTATTCGATTATATAATCATCGTTATTTGGTATGACTTGTTACCATTAATCAGGCAGCTCATTGATAACTCTTCAGCAAAATTCTGCAAGTTTTGATGTAAAAAAAAAAGTTTTTGACAAACACTTGAATCTGGTTTTTATTAGAGAAAATTTTCTCTGTCAAAACGTTTTGCAGCAAGGGAAAAGGTAATAATTAGTTGGTGTAAGGTCAGGTGAATATAACAGTTGGGGTAGAACACATTCCAGACTTTTTTCTTGTGTTATTTTTATTATATATGGCCCTGAATTGTCATTAAGAAAAATATTTTTCCTTTAATCCACTGTGTACGCTGCCATGCAAAAACTAAGCTATGTTAGTCTACTGCAAATTTATTCTTTTAACTGCCACATATAAATAGTTAGGATGATACGTTTATCAACAAACTTACTTTTTTTTTGATATTCTGTTAATCCGAACTGACATTGATTCAAAATACTTTTCTATTTCTTAAGCAAATTTCCTAAAACATTTTTAATATTTGTTTATTATTTTTATTTTTCAGCTTACCTGAAGAACGCATTCTTCCGTTTGATGCAAAAGACAACTTCTGGGAAATGGGAGACACGGGACCTTGTGGCCCCTGCTCTGAAATACATTTTGATAGAATTGGAGACCGTGATGCCAGCCATTTAGTTAATATGGATGATTCCAATGTATTGGAAATTTGGAATTTAGTGTTCATTCAGTACAACAGGTATGACCTTTGACCTATTGGCATTTCAAACTCATCACAAGAAGCTCTGTTCTCTATTTTCCTTTTTTTTTCTCTATTGTTTCAATATTTAACATTTATACATACACCATGATTTCTGAAATAGATTTATTAAAAGGTTTTCAGCAAATGTTTTATTCATAAGTATTCATTGCCTCATTATTCAGTCATCAAAATAGCTCCTCTTGCTTCCTTTGATAAGCTTTCAGGCATATAGAGGAATTTGTTATTACTTTTGACTGCTAATTTAAAGGATTATGTTGGACTTTTTACTCTTCTTTTTCTTTTCTTTTTTTTTTTTTTTCATAAGTAATGAATTGTAGTTATCTTTAGTTTTATTGTCAAAAGGACATCTCTTGACATTAGATGTTTGAGTTGTGTATGATGTTGGATAATCTGTCTCATTAATCCGTTGTTGTCAAGACAATTGTTTGTTTGTTTTTTTTGTTTTTTTGTTTTTTTTTGTTTGTTTGTTCTCTCTCTCTCTAAGCATTTCACCCCAAGCAAGGCAGAAGTGCCACTAGCACGCAAGGGATTTCAGAGAGTGGGAGCAAGAGTAAAGAGGCACGAAGGTGGAAAGGATGAAAATAAAGACTGGGAATAGATCAAGGCATCTGGAGATGTTGATTGACATTGCATTTGAATAGTTGGAGATTATAGCTATCAGGGAAGCAATTAAGAGGAAGAGAGTTCCACAGACGGGAAGTGTGAGACATAAAGCTATTTGAGCAGAAGATACGGCTACCTTTAACCATTTCAACAGTGAAAGGGTGGGACTGAGATGCCAACCTAGTAGCACGTTTAAATTCATGCAGTTTGGGAACTAGCAAAAGTAGCTTGTTGGATAAGTTACCATCAAAGTATTTGTACTAAAACTCTAATCTTGTATGCATGTTTGTTCCCAAAAGAAAGCTTAAACGATAGATAATAGCTCAACCAAATTAGGAGCATATTGTACCTTGAACTATTACCAAGTGAAGTGCCAAATTTCATTAAAATTAGACAAGGGGTTCTTGAGCTAGGACAGTTTTTATGACATTTTTAATAGGAAATTCAGTATTTGTTTTTGATACACCTTATATCAATCCGTGTATATAAACAAACATTTGCATATTATATTCCAATTCTTGTGTGTGTGAAAAATAATAAATATTCATAATACATAACAATTTTATTAAATAAATATAAATATGTATAACAACATATATTTATACAATTCACCATACTATATTAGAAGTTTTTATAAACAAATATCACTTATGTTTGGCAACTACTTAATAGGTGAAGAGGCTAAGTGGATGTGTCATTGTAAAATGTAATCTGTACGGCTGGAAAATTGTGTCACATGACTTTATGTTAAATAAATAGATGCATGCTGGTTGGTTGCTGCTGTTACATATTTTGAAATAAATGTGAGGAAGAAAGCAGTATGTATAGTAAAAAATATAATTATTACTCTGAAAAAATTACCTCGAAGAAAATTAAACTAAGTGCACAAAAAGGAGGTATCCATACTTTATTTCAATAAATATGAATCTTCCTAAGTAGACGAATGCTGTTTTTTTTTTTTTTTTTTTTTTTCACATTTAAAAATTATATGGTAAAAATACTAAAATTAGTGTAAATTGTTATCTCTAGGCTAATATTACTTAAATGGAAAAGCCTTTAGTGTGATATCAGCTAGCAATTCAATTATAAAAATAAGTAAGCTATTTATGTTTGATTTAATATTGTATTATGTAAGTAATAATAATTATTACAATAATTTGTATTGCAAATTAATTTATGTGTAATCAATAATAAAATTGATAATATCATTACCTCATTTTGTATCATGAATTGCTTTTAAAAGAAAACCAACAGGTTTACCAGAACCTATATAGGTAGCAAACTGCTTGCATACAAATAGAAAATGTTGTTTTTTTGTTTTGTTTTTTCTTTTGGTAATGAGATGTTTTGGTAAGGTTGCATTTTTGCTTATTAATATTACGTTATACCTCCTGTTAATGTGTACATAATGTAACTGTTGCCTTGGAATTTTGAATTGGTAAGCTGAGTTCAAATTTTGGCTTAGTTGAGTTCACTTTCATATTAATATCCTTGGGAAAGACATGAATCTCTCTCATTTCCTTCTAGCTATAGTTTAAATAGTGTGGTAGATTGGACTCTCTAGCTTTAAGAGGCAATCAGTCGAATAGAAGAGCAATTCTGAATTCCAAACGAAAAGAAAGTAATGAGGAAACCACTCCACCTTTTTTTCCTAAGCAAATGTGGCAATTCAGTCAGGCAAGCCATGATTGCCTACATCCTGAAGGGTCATAGTAATTTTTAAAAAATCATAAAAAAATATTTCATTGCTAAGAAGGGAGATCAGGTTGCATGATCAATACAATATAAAATCATATTTTTTATTAAATAATAGCTTAAAATAAATTTTAATATTAAAAAAAAAAAAGAAATATTTATAACTTTCTCAAAATCTCATATAATTAAAAATTGTTTTGTATTAAAATTTGAAATGTTTACAAATCTATAACTTGATGGGATCATTTTTTTTTTTTCTAGGGAACCTGATCGTAGTTTGGTAAACCTGCCCAAGAAACACATTGACTGTGGCATGGGATTTGAACGACTTGTATCTGTGATACAAGATAAATCATCTAACTATGACACTGATGTATTTATGCCTCTGTTTGATGCCATTCAAAAGGTAAGTAAAGTTTTACAGTGATTCCACTTGCCAAACCTGCTTTTTTTTCCACCTCACCCCCTCTTAAGGGGACTCTTTGTTGGCTTTAAGATTTTGCATCAACACCACAATACTATTTGGACAAAATGAAGTCTGAGGGTGCAAAATTTGGTGTTGATGAAGTGGAAACTGTAAGCAATTGGCTACATTGGCAGCCAGCCAAGTTTTACAAAGCTCTGATACACACCCTTATTCGTAGGTTGAACACTGCTATTGAAAGGGGTGGCGACTATGTTGAGAAGTAGGGATGTGAACCTGTGATGTATAGTTGTTCCTTGATGTATGATGGGTTTGACTGTGATCCTTATTTCTTGCACAATAAAACATTGCATTAAGAATAAATATATATAATGTGTGTGTGTGTGTGTGTGTGTATGTATATATATATATATATATATATATATATCATCCACAGACAGACTGTTTTGCTGTATAACAGCTCCTCAGTGTGGCTAGACTTCTGATTGTTTCAAGCCGAGATCAAGACATAACTGGTTTGACATCAGTCAGATATCTTACCCCTAGGCCATCGTCACACAGCAGAAAGGAAGGAAATTTTAATGTTTTTTCTATACGAATTACATCAGCGGATCAGAGAACTCAATTCGTACTTGAAAAGTAATGCTTTATATATATATATATATATATATATATATATATATATATATATATATATAAAAAAATGAGAGAGATGTCAAAGATTGTATGAAGCCAAAAATGCTGATAGTCAATGGGATATTGAGAGAAAATGCATTTAAAGCACATGGCGGGGATGAAGGTGAACTTAAATGTATTTATATTTAGACAAACACACCAGTGACTGGGAGAACTTGATTCATCTTAACGAAGAGTCTTGCATTTGCAGCAGTATTAATAGTCACTGTTTACAAATTCACTTTTCTCCCTGAAAAGTTATGCAAAACATTCTCCACCCACCAAGGTGGGTGGAGAATGTTTTGCATAACTTTTTCCAATTTCTTTTATTATTCAGCCAGTCTAATGCTACATATCCTTTCTAGTGTCAATGTCATATGCTTTTAATCAACTCTCTGTGATTTTTGTCTACAGGGGACAGGTTCTCCAGAATATAGAGGTAAAGTTGGAGCAGATGATGTGGATGGTATTGATATGGCTTATCGGGTTCTTGCTGATCATGCCCGGACATTGACCATTGCATTATCAGATGGAGGTCGACCTGACAGCACTGGACGGGGGTATGTTAACATAACTCATATTTTAAATTTGGAGTACAATATTTATAAGTTTGATTTAAACATTACCTTTTCAATTTTATTTCAATTTTTATTGTTTCTTATGACAAATGTCAGTAATAGACTGGCCAAAGTGTCTGCTTGCTGGATGGTAATTGGGGCCCCCTATATCAAATAAAAATGCAATAAAGAAGCACAGGTAACTGTTTTTGTAATAAAAAGGAATGCAACATTTATAAAGTCATCTGCACACTATCAGTTGAGTTCAATGTGAGAGGACATTTTCAAAGCTAAAGATCATAAAGATGAGGTTAAGAAATTCGCTGTCTGAGGAAAATTTGGAATCATACATGTTGCTGTCCATTGAAAAGGAATTTGTAATTATATACAAAGCTTGTGAAAATTTTTTCACTAATTTCGAAATATTTTAAAAATGTTCTCTTTTAATATTATTTACAAATAATTTATTGAATGAAATATGTCGGAATTGAAAATTTGGCCATTGACAGAAATGGACAGGATTATTTCAGATTCACAATACACTTTAAGCCCTTCCACCATCCTCAAATGATATACTGAGGTCAGTATGTCAAAATAGGTCAACACTCTCTGCATTTTCCCCCACTCTCTAAAGAAGATAGCAATAGCTCTTGTTTTTAACCTGGAATATTTTTTTTCCATTTCATTTGTGATTTGTTTGTAAGTCTTAAAGATTGAGAACTGATTTTAGAGCTCTCATGAAATAAAAATTATTACCTATGGGATTTTAAGTGTTTGATATTCTTTAATTAATAATAATTTTGCTGTCTTTTGACATAGAGCTCTCCCTGGATCCTTATCCTCCTGGAAATTCCATACAGATTACCATATTGTATCATTACTACATACATACATACATACATATATATATATAACAAATACACTTCCTTATATGACATATAAAACCATATATATATATAAATAAATACACTTCCTTATATGACATATAAAACCATATATATATATAAACAAATACACTTCCTTATATGACATATAAAACCATATATATATATATATAACAAATACACTTCCTTATATGACATATAAAACCATATATATATATATATATATATATAACAAATACACTTCCTTATATGACATGTATATAAAACTATATATATATATATATATAAACAAATACACTTCCTTATATGACATATATATAAAACAATATATATATATAACAAATACACTTCCTTATATGACATATATATAAAACAATATATATATATATATATAACAAATACACTTCCTTATATGACATATATATATATATATAGTCATATAAGGAAATGCGTTTGTTTTATTTCTTTATTTTTTATCATTTTTTATTTTTTATTTTAGCTATGTTCTCAGACGCATCTTGAGAAGAGCTGTACGTTATGGAACTGAAAAATTAAATGCTAAACCAGGATTCTTTGCTTCTTTGGTTGATACAGTTGTATCATTGCTGGTGAGTAAGTTTGACTCTGCTTTTTTTTATAGGAAATGAAATATCTATAAACACTAAAGTTTAAATAAGACAACCATCTTGAAAAATATGTCAGATGAAAACAACTGGAATGCATCATATCATTGGAAAATACTGTAAGTAAACCAAGTGTGGAAATAGAATTAAATATAAAGAATATTCAAAAGCATAGAGAAGTAATAATGTGATGATTCATTTTATTATGTCAGTATGTTTTTCAGATAAATTCTTTAATATATAAATAGCAGGCCAGGACCAGCAGTCTTAGTTATCATGAAATTTTCCTCAGACTCTAAGTGTTCATCACTTTCAAGATTATTCTTACCATTCAACAGAGGCTTCCTTTCTGTAACAGTTCAATGCCTATTTTCTTTATCCATATCTCCATTTTGTCAGTCACTGTACCAAGTGAACCAATGACAACTGGTATGATTGTGACCTTCAACTTCCAAAGTCTTGCAAGTTGAAACTTCAATGGGTCGATTACTTTCTCATCTTCCTTTTTTCTCTATCCTTGTATCAAATGGACCTGATGGATCAATGATTATCCCTTCCTTTTCTAGTTTATCCTCCACCACTATGTCCAGCTTGTTTTTCTCCAGTTTTTTATCTATGTTGATTTAAAAATTCTTGCATGTTTCTGACTGTAGGGTTGTGCCATTCTTTTACTTGCTGGTTCAATCTCTGCCTCCCTACAACCAATATCACATCTACCTGTACCAATATAATAAAATAGGAGATATTACTTTCAGAGCAACCCTCAAATATTTGTTTAGACAATAAATAATATAATACTGTATCTTTTTTTTTTTTTTTTTTTTTTCAGCAAGGGACATTTCCCGAAGTGGCTAAAGACCCACAAATGGTAAGTCTTTTAAAGTCCATCTATCTTCCTTGTGGTCATGCATAGTTATTGAAGTCTATTGTTTTACAGATATGGTATCTGAACCTACCCCCAAATCTAACCATCTTTTTACAACCTTAGTTGCCTGGGTTTTAAATTCGGAGTTGTCCCACTCCTAGACTAGTTGCCAATTATGGCTTGAGCACCTGATCTGCTTTACTACATAACCCAGAGCTGAAATTGATTCATAACTTTCTGAAGAGTATTTGTGTGAAAGTGAGTGTATAACTTAACCTGTATTTGAACTCTGTTTGCCAATTTCTCATTCTGAGCTGCTAACCATTATGCTACCTGCACATCTTTTAAGCAAATTAAACAAATTGGCAATTATTTTATCTGATATGCTCTTATTAAATATTTATCTTTTTAATTTATATTTTCTACTGCGGATCTTTTTTTTTTTTTCGATAATTGAAATTTTATTTAATTTGAATGTGGGTTTTAATTTAAAATTTAAAGGAAAGTTTTATTTTTAATTTGATCATCTTTTTTAGATATCCATATAGAAGGAGAATTCTTTGTTTTATTTAGCCTGTTAGTTCTTTTTTATTATTCTTAAAAATATTGGAACTTGGTGAAATCATGAATATAATAAGGATTTCAAATATATATTTTAAATCTGGTAAATTTCATATGAATTTTATTTATATTTTTGATTTGCTTTATAAATATCTCAACAGGGAAAAATATACTATCTTGGAAGTTAAAAACATTTTGTGTCATCAGCCATTTTCACATTGAAAAAATTTCTACCACACACCTGTATAGTAAATATTCAAAAGCATGCTAAAATTGTTTGGTAAAAGTTTGTTACTGGTTCAGAAAAATACCAAAGGGAGGTAATAAATAACACTTGCTTATGCAGTGGTTGCTGCTGCTACTATTATATTAAAGAACAAATAAAAGCAAACTTGACCATTAAAAACACACACACACTTAATACTCAAAATATCACCCACCCAACAGTTGAAATCGTCCACCAGTGGGCGATATCATCCAGGTTGGGAAATCCTGCCCTATATATTTGACAGTTCATTTTATTTACTTATATTCAAATATAATAAGGATTTCACATATTTTGAAACACAGTAAGCATTTATTAAACAGAATAAGGATTTTGTGTATATTTTATCAAACCTGTTTTTCTTGTTAAACACTATCTTGTATTATTTTCTATTACTATAGTTTTGTTTTTTGTTAGTACCTTTTATGAAGTGTGCTACTAAATTGACAACTAGGTCTCACTGTTTTACTAGATAAATGCAACCATCTTTTCAATTCTAACAGTTTCTTTTCTCACCTGTGGAACTCCTTTCCAATTTCTTGCTTCCCTTCCATTTACAATCTTCAAAAATTTAAATGCAATGTCAATTGACATTTTCTGTCTTCCCAAATCCTGTACTTATTATTGTCCTTTCCTCACTAAAGTCTTCTCCTTCTCTTTCACTCCCTGTAACAACCCCCTACATCCTAGTAGCATTATCGCCTTGTTGGGGACAAATGATTAGTTTATTTATATATATATATATATATATATATATATATATATATATTCATAATGATTGATCATGTCTAGGACTGGAATCCTCAATGCACACACATACAGTAAAGCAGTAGATAGCCATTTTGTCCTTTTGGGACTCCTCAACAATGTGCATTTTCTACCAACTCTGAGAGTTGAATCCAGGCCATTCCAATACAATGCAAGTACCATACCATTGGGCCAGCAGGCTATGGTGGTGAGGAGGAAACTAAGTTACTAGACATATATAGCACACCTCCTCCTTCCTGGTGGTGACACTATACAAGCATACAGAACACACAAAACTGATCCCTAGAGAAATGACTTCTTTTACTGAGCCACTCCATCCAGAACATTAGAAGCTGGATCCAACATAGGTTATATTATTGATTAGTAATTAGAGGATTTGTATAATTTTCATAATAATTCATGTCTAGAACCAGAATTCGCGATTCATTCACATGCAGAAAAACAGCAGACAGCCATCTCTACAACACACATTTTTATAATTATTGAAACATTATTTAGTTTAACTGTCTTATATATTGGTACATCTGGTTAAAAAAGAATTGTAATGCAAAAAAAAAAGCTAATATTGCCAAGAAGACTCCACCTTTCAAAAAGAAAAAAAGCTTGAAAAAAAAATGGTGATACAAATATTATTTCCTTTTTTTTTTTTTTTTTTTTATTGAAATATCTTAAGATAATAGGAAACCTTAAAAATATTTTCAGATAAAGTGAAGACTTAGTTAATGAATGCATTTTTTAATTGAGATAGGCGAACATGTTTTGAACTTCTAAACAAGTTGTCTGTCTCTAGTTTCGTAGTTCTTTGGTGAACTATGTAATCAAAACATTGGATATATCTATTTGATGACAAACATGCAAAAATTTGAATAAATACCATTTAGATTCTATTTCTATGTGCTGTATCCCTTGTATGGCTCTCCACTCTTTCCTATCTTAAAAAATTTTGTCATTTACTTATCTCACCTAAACCTTGCTCCACCATCCATTTACTAGAGCTCACTAGGTAGGTTATGCACTGTTTTCCTCTGTCCTGTGAGTATCAAGTTTTCCAAACCCTCTTTTCTCATTATGTGCCTTAGAAAGTTCAACTGTCTCTTCCTGATGTTAAGTATAAGTTTCCTTTTTGTTTTCATTTTCTTTAAAACTTTGTCATTGCTCACATGTTCGGTCAATGGTAGTCTTAGTATCCTTCTGTAGAACCACGTCTGTTGTTTCAAGTCTCTTTTTCATCTGTGAGGAGATTGTCCAGCATTCAAAGGCATATAGAAGGGCTGATATTTTAATATGCTATTCAAAAAAGCCTTATAGTAAACTGAAATCTGATTTCTCCTCCAACACATTGTATTTAATGTATCAGAATAAATATTTATTCTTAAGTTTTTAAGTCTCTATCTAATTCATTTCCGTTTTTGGTGCTACACAATAGAAATAGCGACTAAGGATCATGTTGTGCACACTTTGGTCATACTGATGTTCAAGGTGTGTGGTTGTACTGTAATGGAGATTAAATTGAATTTTTTTTTTCATTGGCTGCTACCTAAAAATAAAAATGTCTCAATAAAAATAAAACCACCTTGATATGATTTCAATATTTTTCTAATTGTTACAACTCACTCCTAACAGTTATAATATTATGTCTTGCTTAGGCTACTTGCCATGACATTTGTTAGAAATTCACCTGGCTGACTCCAATGGACTACCAGGACTCATTTGGCGTTCTTTATTTAAGGCATCTTGCCTAGTTCATTTTGGTTGCCAAGGATGTGTTATTTACTCCACAACACTAATTTATCAAGTATTTTGTTTCAGATCAAAGACATCATAAATGAAGAAGAAAGTCAATTTCTTAAAACTTTGTCTCGAGGTCAACGAATGCTTCAAAGAACAATGAGCAAATTGGCTGATGAGAAATTCCTGCCAGGTGAGTTAATATAAAAGATACCAGTTAAAAAGTTGCATGGATTTATTAGATGTGCGCAAAAAGTCATGACACTTGATTTTTAAACTAGTAGAAAACATTTAAAAAAAAAAAAAAGTTTTGAAACACTTTTTTGGCTTTATGTTGTTGCTTTATTGCAAAGATGAATTGATAATGTAACAAATTTTATTTTAGTGATTTTTGACATGTATACATACCCTTGCTCCTTTGGGACCAGGCTTTCCTGGTCTACCATCAGGTCTGGAAATTCCTCTAGGTTCAGGGAAAATCAAGTGGGCCGGTCTAGTCTGAGTCACCCTAAAGCATAAAACAAAGAGTTCCTTAAAAACAGGTAAAACGTTTTAAAAGTAAAGTGCTTACTCGTATGGGGGTTATCTTTAACATTGATTATAACCTATATGCATCCTTATTTATTTTTATTGACCATAATCGTACAACATTTGTGTATGTGGAGTGGGACATAACAAGATAAGTATTTTCTTGCCCGAGTCCATCCTTCAAATCTATAAATCAACCATTCACCCTAGCATGGAATACTGCTGCCATATGGTCTGGAGCCCCCACTGTTCGTCTTAAGGTCCTCGACAAAATCCAGAGACAGATATACAATGTAATTGGCCCTAATCTGGCATCTCACTTACAGTTGCTCTCTCGCAGACGTGCCATTGCTTCCCTCTGTCTTTTCTACAAATACTTTCACAGTAACTGCTCTGATGAGCTACATTCGCTGGTTCCCAAACTACATGAATTTAAACATGCTACTAGGTTGGCATCTAAGTCCCACCCTTTCACTGTTGAAACAAGTTAAATGTAACCATCTCTTCTACTCCAACAACTTCATGTCCTGCACTTTTCATCCATGGAACTCCCTTCCTCTTACTTGCTTCCCTGATAGCTATAATCTCCAACTATTCAGATGCAATGTCAATCGACATCTCCAGATGCCTTGATCTATTCCCTGTCCTTCTCTTCCTCCTTTTCTCTTGCTCCCATTCTGTTGCATGCTAGTGGCACTCCCACCTTGCTTGGGGTGAAATGCTTTAAAAAATAAAAAAAAAACATTTAAAATGAGACAGCCACTAATATTCTTTTCCCAAGAGTTATTTGAACTCACATTTTGTGTACTGTCAATGTATAAAGTCTTTTCTCAGTATTTTTACAATACAGAAACCAATATAAGCAAACAAATTCAAAACACTCACTGTAATGTTTGCGATATAAATAGCAGCAGCCTGTACATATACATGAGTATGATAAGCTACATCTGACAACAAGGCCTCTGATTGGGAGATTGATGGTTTTGAGGTGTGTTTATTACTGTTGTTCCCAGGTCCATTCTGACCCAAGGTGGTAGAACCTACTGTATTCAAGCTATGGGTAAATAGTGAAACCACAAACAAAAATGAACACTAGGAAAGTATAAAAATACATTTTAATAGTAAAAATGACCGACGATACATTTCATAATAGCAAAAATGACCAACGATATATTTTATAATTGTAAAATTGAAGATGGGGCATACATTAAAATTTAAAAAAAAAAAATATTGTTATAATCTCATTTCTTTTTCAGGAGAAACAAGTTTTCACTTTTTTCTTTTCTTTTTGATTTTTTTTTTTTTTTTTTGTAAGATTATTTACTAAAAGTAATTATACTTTAATCATGAAATAATGTCATTCTCTTGAATTGATTTGAATTTGACCTTCATTTAGATTTCAGCATTAAATAACCCATAGAGGTGTTGATATGCCACTAAACAAAAACAACCAAACAATACAGCATATTTTATAATTTATATACAGAGAAGTTTTCAATTCCTATCTTTCTTAACCAAAAATGTTTATATCATGTCTCTGGGCAATGAAAGCCATATTGCATTGAAATCCACATCAGTCTGACATTATGCATTTGACAAATTCATAAATGTGGATTCTTTCTATTTTGTCAAAGGTAATGACCATTGTCAGTTTTGTTAATTAGCATCCACTATTTTAATTGGATTGTTATATTTTCCCCCTAGAATTATCATTGATACTTGTTTGTAAAGAGCAAATTTTAAGGCCAAAAGAAGGAAGTTGACTTAAACACCGGCAAGAGTTTCATTAAGTTGAAATTGTTTACAGCAGAGAAAGATAAAGATCAACTGGTAAAATAATCTAGTTAGAAAAAAATTTAAATTGTTCAAATAATATTCTACACTAATTGATTTTTAACTAATTTAAAAGAATACTTTTTATTCAGAAGAGTATTTATATGCCACTGTAAAGTATTTTTATAATAAATGATAAACATTGTTTTTGCTGTTGATGGATTCTCAATTTCTAGTACTCAGAGGCAAAGTTTCTTGAAATGTGCCATTAAAAAAAAAGAAAAAAAAAGAGCCTTGCTGCTTGAAATTAGCCAAAAATCAATGGTTAACTTCTAAATAGACTTGAGCACATATACTTGTGTATAAGCAAACATCTTGTATAGTGCAAACCCTGAATTTTTTGCATGAATTTTAACCCCTTCAGAAAAAAAATTTACCTTTGTATAGTGCAACCCTCTATTTTTTTGCATAAAAAACTGATCATAAATACTCACACTATACTCAAGTCCATATGGTACTTAACATTTTCTTTTTGATCTAGTAATTTCGCCATTTTTCTTTTCAAAATGGCCAATATATATATATATATATATAAAGTAAATTTTATAATAAACTGCCTTAAGATTTTGTAAGATCTGTTAAATTAAAATTTTTATTTCCTAAAAAAAAATTTTGTAACCTTTTTGTTTCCATAAAATTTTAAAGATAAAATAAGGGCAGTTTTCTGTTATTTTTATCTACTTTTTTTTTTTTTTTTTTTTTTTTTTTTTTTGAAGTTTAGTTAAAACTTACCTTTAGGGAAAAATAAAACTATATAAAAATAAAAAAAATATATAGTTTCTTAATTTTAATTTTTCTTTAACCCTTTTGCATTCACTCCCAGCCATATATCACAGCTGTTTGAGGTTTCCTACAGACCCACTGAACTTAAATAAAGTCAATTCAGGTTTCCTATGGTAAAATTTTCTTTCCCAAGTGAAAATCATCACAAAAATAGCAAAAGTCATTTTGTCACAGCTTATTTTCTCTCAAAATATGGGTTTTCATACTTTTTTTAGGGTAAAATATTGAAAAATGACTGTTTTATCATCATCTAAACTAATATCAAGGAAACTTTTGATCTGAACCCCGTGAAACTAGGTATTTTCTGAAGGCAAAAGATATATTCTTTCATTTAAAAAGTAAAATTAGCTGGTGTAAATGACTCAAAATTTTTTTTCAGTGGGTAAAATGTGAAAAAAAATAGTGAAAATTTTGCATTTTTTCTTGTTCTAAACAAATATTTCCCCCATTAATGGGAAATTAACCATTTTTTTTTTTTTTTTTTTTTTTTTTTTTTTTTTTTTTTTTGAATCAGAAAGCCTAAATCATAATCAAACTATTTCAGGCATAAAATTGAGAGTTTTGAAGGAAATCAACATTCCTAGGGGTTCAAAATGCGACAAAATCCATTGTTAATTTTCAATTATATGACTGCCAAGGGTTAAAAAAATTGACACCTGGCCACGGAAATCTTTAGTAAAAGGCAAGAGATTTATCTGCAATTCCTAACCACCAGAAACCAAAATTTTTTTTTTCCCTAAAAATAGCGATAAGGGAAAATAAACCTAACTGACTTTGACGTCTAGGTCAAAGGTCAGCCAGCCAGCCAGCAATAAACGGACGGCAAACCTTAGAACAAGTTGTAATAAAACCCACCACTCCCAGATAAAAGCAAAGAGTGAAAAAAAAAAAAAAAAAAAAAAAGGGTTCACAATTACTAGGGCTTCATATAACCTATGTTTGAACAATGGCTTGATGAGTTTTGTTTTGTTTTAACACCCCGTGACCCGGTGATGACAACAACACTTAGCAGCCGACATTGTTTTTTTTTTCGCCGCATATCTTTCAGATTTCCCATTGCCGGTCCATTTAGCCTTTTTTTATTCAATGATGTTCATGCCAAATGAAAGAGAAAGGAATGAATTTTGAATGATGTTATTTTGAAGCAAAATAAATATTTTTCATAAAAAAAGGGATTTTTCTCAGAAAATTGGGCATAATTTCTTAATGGTAACCGCCGAAAGTGACATTTTCCACAGCCAAATCAAGATTAATTACCAGTGAATAATTCCATGTGCAAAAAATAGCCGTCTGGATCCTATAAGGTCGCCCCTAAAAGGTCCAGAAGTTTACTAATTGATCGAAAACCTGTTGCGCATAATTGTATTTTTCACGGTCAGTTTCCATTATTTCATCTTGATATTACCATTTTCGGACAGCCAAGTCATCAAGGATTCAGGAAAACACTTTGGCATAGGTTTTCTTTAAGAACTTTACATTCTATGAGGTGTTTAAAATGTTACTGATGAATGAGATTTTTTGCCAATATTTCGTTTTTGCTACCATGTTGGATTTTCCTATATGACAAAAACAAGGGTTTTAAACAGCTGTGATATGAATGATAAACAATATACCAGAAAGAGTAAACGATCAAACTTTTGGAAGTCATGGAGAATAAAAACTTTCTCTTTTCTAAAATCACGTCTTATCTCCGTTTGTTGTTTTATCACTTCTACTTATTTTTTTTCTTGCCTAACAGTAAGGCTGCCATTAAACATTGTATAACAAGGATAAATTTCAGTATACAGTCTCTCAATCAAGCCCACCCTGCTTTAAAAAAGAAAAAGAATGCCCCCATCATACAAAGCATCAGATACTGAATATTCTTGAAATATTTCAGTTGTCAAGAGTCATGCAAAAGATTTCTAACTAATTGCCAATGTCTTATATTTTGTATGCAGGTGAAGTTGCCTGGAGAATGTACGACACCTATGGTTTTCCTATTGATCTGACTCAACTTATTGTTGAAGAACATGGCATGTTAATCGATATGGATGGCTATGAAGAAGCACGTAAAGCATCTTTGGTAAGCATTAACAATTTAACTGTTTTGCTTGAATAACCTTATATCAAAGGGTTGCCTCAATGTATTAAAAAGCATTTATTCATTGTCAAGTCTTAGAAGATTAGTAAAAACAGATGGCAATTTTAAAAAAAAAAAAAAAACTATATCAAAAGAATGATTATTCACTTAACATCTCTATTACTGTATACACTTTTGACTCCCTCAGCAATGTTTTTAAAAAGCGATGGTTAGAATTTTAATAAAACCAAAACTCATGAAAGTGGATTTATACATTTTCTTTATTCTTGAGAATTGATGAGAAAGATGTTAAACACTATTTATTTATTAGATTGCTTGCTTATTTACTAGATTATAAAAATATGTGAACTAATGATATGGAAATATTTATTATTTACCATTTCATAAAGAAATAAATATGGAAAGAAATGTGAACAAGAAAATTTAAACACATAACAATGAGTAACTGTAATTATAAATTTAAAAAAAAAGATGAAATTTCTGAGTTTTCTTTCTTTCACTAAAATAGGTTGAAAGCACCTCAACCTATTTTGAAAATTTTGTAATTTTTTTTATGAAATTTTGAATAAAAAGATTCCTTTACAAAATGTAAATACTAAATATCGCATAGTATTTGGTTCATATCTCTTTTGATAACCTTGTAAATAAACATTGACAACAGTCAAAAGTAATGGCAGTGTTAAAACAATAACCATTTTCAGACACACCTTTTTTTTTCTTTTTTTTTTTTTCTTTTTTTTTTTTTTTTTTTTTTTTTTTTTTTTTTTTTTTTTTTTTTTTTTTTTTTTTTTTTTTTTTTTTTTTTATTTTTTTTTTTTTTTTTTTTTTTTTTTTTTTTTTTTTTTTTTTTTTTTTTCTTTTTCTTTTTTTTTCTTTTTCTTTTTTTTTCTTTTTCTTTTTTTTTCTTTTTTTTTTTTTTTTTTTTTTTTTTTTTTTTTTTTTCTTTTTTTTTTTTTTTTTTTTTTTTTTTTTTTTTTTTTTTTTTTTTTTTTTTTTCTTTTTCTTTTTCTTTTTTTTTCTTTTTCTTTTTTTTTCTTTTTCTTTTTTTTTCTTTTTCTTTTTTTTCTTTCTTTTTTTCCAGGTATGAAACTTATACATTGCTATACAGACAATATTTAAGTTATATTTTATTTTATTTATTTACTTGGTTTTACATTCAAACTATTGTCCTCATCTTTGTTGTGATTACAATGTTTTGACCATTGTGTCCTCCAACCTTCATCAGGTGTATATCAATCCAGGTCACCTACAGGGAATTTCAAACTGAACTCTTAATTTAATCTATAGATGTAGATTGTTCTCATTCCACTGCACATGTCTAGGGTTATCTCGTCTAGTTCTTATTTTTAGTAATGCACTGTTATTGCTCGCCTCTGTTTCCACTGAATTCAAGTACACACTACCCAAACCAGTGACTGAACTTACAATTACTCAGTCAGTCAGTCAAGTGCCATATGTGATACATGCTTGGGTGATCATGTATCTTTCGAAACATGACTGACGAAGCAGATATTTTCCTACAGTAGGTTGCCATTTCTTTCTGTGGTAGATCTGTTGCCAACCAAGTCTGAAGAACTCAGTCTGGTGGGAGAAAAGATGAATTCATACCTTTCTCAAGGATATTTGGGCATAAGTGAACCTAATGAATTCGACTGCAATTCAAACTTGGCTCTCTGAGTTCTCACTCCGAGCTGATATCCATTACACACCACAATGCACAATTACTACGTCATATAAATAATGATAACTCCTAACCCCAGAAATTCAGACAGAAATTTATTTACTTTTATTTTTTATTTTTTATTTTTAAATAATTTCACCCCTAGCAAGGCAATAAAGCCACCAAGATGCAAGTTGTTACTTAGCGTGAAAGAATATGAGAAAAAGTAAAACATTATTAAGGAGAAAGAACAATAAAATAACAATAATTAAGGAGATAGAAAATAGCAAGTGACATTGCATTTAAAATTTTTGAATAGCAAAGTTGACTGGAAAGGAAGAAACTGGAAGAGAGTTCCACAAGCGAGAAGTGCAAGAGAAGAAACTACTGGTACAGAATTTATGGCTACATCTAGCCATTTCAACTTTAAAACGATGAGACCTAATTGTCAATCTAGTACTACACTTAAATTCGTAAAGTCATGGTACTGAAGAGAAAAGCTCATCAGATCAATTACCATGAAAATATAGAAGGGCACAGGGAAATTGTTACAGTGTTGGGAAAGTGACTTCATTCTGAATTACTAAAATTCACAGTACAATAGCCTAGTGAATTAAAGCAATGTTTTGTGAATTTGGTGACTCAGTTATTCTGAGTTGAATCCCTTGGCTGGTGAAGATTTAGATAGCAACAACTGAGCAGTACAAAATAAAAAAAAGACAGTTTCCTAGATAATGAACAACAAAATGTGAACAGTCCACCCTCATAGATTGAATAAAGGGTTTATTTTGAAATTCCCTGAAGGCAGGAGGGTACAAATTACCAAGATGCGATAATAATAACAACAAAGATGAAATTCGACAGAGTGTAAATTATATAAACAGAAAAAACATTTTGTCATATGTGTGTTTTTTTTGTTTTTTTTTTTTGCTAATGGGAGAGAGGAAAAAAATTTTTTTCTTTTAAGCTGCAGAGACATCTAAGTGAAATGATTCCATATTGTGTATCTATGTGTGTTTTTATATATATATATATATATAGCATAGTGAATTAAAGCATTGTTTGTGAATTAAAGCATTGTTTTGGAATTTCAACTTAATGAAAGTCTTGCCTGTGTTTAAGTCAACTTCCTTCTTTTGGCCTTTTATATATATATATATATATATATATATATATATATATATATATATATATATATACCTGAATTTTTTTTTCTTCCTTAGTTGGCTTCACAGGGGGGTGGAGGTACTACTACCCAAATGGTCAGTCTAGATGTACATGCATTAAATGACCTTCAATCAAAAGGAATTCCTCCAACAGATGATTCTCCAAAATATAAATACACTGCAGATGAAAATGGAAATTATGGTGAGTTTTTTTACTAAATTTGTGATACTATGGACACCAACGTGGAAAGGGGAGAGGTGGTTTTAGCTTGATCTCAAGTGTTTCTGTTTAATGGACCCACAGATGGTTCTTTTTTAAGTTCAGTCTTCTAAGTGGCATCCACTTTACCGAAGAGGAATGGGAAGTAAAGGAGTGGATTAGTGTTTTTGTTTCTCTGTTTTTTTTGTTGTTAGTTTTTTTTTTTTTTTTTTTTTTTTTTTTTGTTAGATCAAGTGGCAACAAAACTGAAAATAGAGTATAACCAGCTGCTTGTCTATATTAAGATGGCAAATTGAGATTGGGGAGAGTGCTGTCCACCCTTGGCGGGAGATTGATGTGTCTGTATCATGGTTCCAATGCTTCCATTTTATATTGTCAAGCCACCACATCGGGATAAGTAGAGAGGCAAAGAGTTGGTAAGGAGAAGAAGAGCTGACATTGTTCCTAGTATCACCTACACCCCTGGACAAGCCCCAAATAAATACCTATATCTATAAATACCTATATCTAATAGTAGTAAACATGGTTTGTGTTATTATTTCTCAACATGGCATTTCTTTCACCTTGTTACTGTGTAAGCATTCAGCTCACTCTTTCCCAGCTTTCGGTGAACACCAAGATTGAGAATTGAAATACAATATAGAGTGATCATTAGCTGAATTAGTGGAAGCTTGGTGGAGGGTCACACATGTTTACAAATTTAGTTGATGAGCTCCAAGTAATTTATTCATGGCAAATTAATAGTATTTTTCTTTTTATTTGGGCTCAGGGCATGGGTGTACAAAGTTACTTGACATGCGTTTTCAGTTATAATTTATCCATATTTAAAACAATATCTGTTAAACCACAAGCACCAACTATATGTGTTAAATTATCATCCTCATATAATGGAGCTAGCGTCTATACTGAGGTAATTAGCATCTATACTGAGGTAGTTAGCAATTAACTGTCAGCATTTGACCTGATAATCATTGTCCTTCCATTTTTTTTTTTTTTTTTTTTTTTTTTTTAGGCATTTCTCTTGCAAATTGTCATGCATTTCAAGCTTACACTGTCTCCAGTTAATATTTTCTCCCAAAAAAGTTAATTCAATAATGTAAACTTTTTTGAATTAACTAAATAGCTCATAAGATGAAGATATTAGGTAATGATCTCCATTGGAAAGATTAAGTAATGTTCTTAATAAATCTTCACTAAAATGCATTTAATAATATTTCATGAAATTATTTTTTGAAAGTAATCATTCTGATAATTTTCAAATCCATGATTGTTTTCTAAGAAATAATGAAGACACTGGAGTAATTGAATTCCAGTTGAGTTCATTCCATTCACATGTTAATGAAATTGGAAAAGGTAGGACATATTGGGCCCTATAGCCTTGGTTGGCAACCAGTTTAGGAGATGGAAAATATGCAATATTCTCTGATTCCTTATCAGTTATAACAGCAATAAAAAATAAATAAATAAAAAAAAAACTTGACAGCGCACAGCTAGTAAAATTACTATGAAAACTAGATTCATTATCCAATAGTAAAGAAATAGTGAAATAGTAATATGCTTGATACCAAGCCACATAGGAATTAGAGGAAATGACTAAGCAGATTCAGCTACAAAGTCTGCCCAAAACAAAACACCTGATACAGTGTAACCCGGATATAAGAGAGTTGTCGGGACCGGAGAAGAAGTCTCTTATATCCGGGTTTCTCTTACATCCGGGTTTGGTCTATTTTACACAGGCTCTAATTTGGGACCAGAGAAAATCTCTCTTATATCCGGGTTACACTGTAATAATTTCAAGATCTCTTATCCAAACCTTAAAAGTAAGATCAACCAACATATCTGTCTATATTTCTGAGATGATGTAATTGTAATTATTTAAATTGTTTGGACTGTTGTCCTCATCTTTATTGCCATATTCAAGACGTTTCAGCTGTTCTACACTCCAGCCTTCTTCAGTTGATTGAAATTTCAAACTAAACCCTTTATTTCATCCACCAAGGTAGATTGTTCTCATTCCACATAGCATGCCTCTTCCGGATGTCTCAGTTATCTCCTTTTAACTCCCGAAGATTTTGTTCACCACTGCAGTAGCCAGGTATTGAACTCACAACTTTTTGGGTCAAGTCAGTGGATCCAACCAACATTGGATAAAACCATTGTGAGTTCAACACCTGGCTACTGCAGTGGTGAACAAAAACTTTGAGAGTTGAGTTAAAGGGAGATAAATGAGGCATCTGGCAGAGGCATGGCTCGTGGAATGAGAACAATCTACTCCAGTGGACAAAATAAAGGGTTCAGTTCAAAATTCCAATCATCTGAAGAAGGCCAGAGCATACAACAGCCAAAATGTCATGAATATGGCAATAAAGATGACGACTGCAGTCACAGTGAAACACATTTTAACTGAATATACTCACTTAGCACCTGTAAGACATAAATACTACAAGGAAAACAAGAGAAAACTATTTGAAAATACTGAAGCTGTTAACATAAAGTCCTATCTTAAGGAAAGAGGTTTATACCAAAACATACAACACCTACAATAGAGCATCTACAAACTATATATCAATAAAAAGTTTATCCTGAAAGTATAAAATTATGTACAAAATACCTGCAGTTGAAGTCATAAAACTGTGTACAAAATATTTAGATTTTGGCATTAAGTAGCCTTTAGGGGTTGATATACCACCAAACAAGATCAACCAACCAACAACCAACTAAAAACCAACTAAAAAATAACCATTTTATTCTTAAATTCCAGTTTTTGAACCCAATTCTGGGAACGTGATTGCTCTGAGATTGCATAAGGAATTTGTTGAAGAGGTTCCAGCAGGTGTTGAATGTGGCATCTTACTTGACAGTACCTGTTTCTATGCTGAACAAGGAGGACAAATTTATGATGAAGGCTTCCTGACCAAAGAAGAGGAAGAGGTAAGATAACAGAAACTATTATAAATGTCTGACATGCATGGCTCCTAATTTACTAATTCCTAAACATAGTGTCTATATAGCATTGTCTGGATTTTTTTAGAAGAAGCATTTTTAATATAGACAAACCCTGTAACAGTCACCAATGAAGACAGTATATGCTTCCCAGTTTTAGACACTTTTCTACTTAACAGTAGTAATAGGGTTAAAATTATGAGAATAATTTTAATGTTCTGTAAAAATATAAAAACAAATATTTATCATATATATATATATATGTGTGTGTGTGTGTTTAGCTGTAATTTCTGTGAGTTTGTTACCATGTGACTCCTTAAGGCATTTAAATACCAGGTTGGAATCTGGTGTGGGATAGTCTTTCTTAGATGAGGGTGAATGGAGTCTCTCTGAGCCTTGGTGGGCAATCTATTCAGTGATGGTGTCGCGATAAAAACACCCTTGATAGCCCTAGCGAAGCATCAAGAATTCAGCTATTGACAAGATTATGAACTATTGCCACAGATGAACTTGTGTCATCATTTGTACTCTGGAGGCACCCATCATCTGACAATCTATCACGCAAGTTAACCTTTCCAGATAGGATAAAACGAGACACATTGATCCCTAAGGAAGATCTTTTAGGTGCTATGACAGATAGGGAATACTGGAGAGGTGTAGTGAGTTCAATCTCGGCTGAGGCCGCAAGATGATGATGATAATGGAGAGTAAGGAAACTACCATATATTCTTTAACTACTGCTGGTCAAAGACCATCACGATAATTATCTGTTCCCTACTATTAAGTCTGAAATTTTCCTCTAAGACTTCACATCTCCCTTTATCATTTCTTTGAGGTTGTTTCAGATTCTTATTGTTTCTGTTTGAAAAATGTTTTTCTTGTTTGTGTATTTCTTTGAAATGTATTTTGTTTGTGGGGCAATCCCAGCATGCAACACCTTTGGAAATTGTCTGAAAACCATACCACAGGTTGAGCTAAGCTTTGTTAGTAAAATTGGGTAGGCGGAATTATTTGAGAACTGTTAGCACAAAGTCACAAGTCATCATGACCGAGGGTTTGAGCAGACTGGCCTTGTTCAGACTGTTGATCACACCAGTTAATATACTCTCTTCCAGAAACTGTAACTAAGGTCTGCTCAGTATAGTTACAGTATTCACCACAGATGGGTTCTGTGGGTGTTGAACAAACTCAAATGTGTCTGAGCAGGTGTCTACAACAAGGATTGTCTAGACGGGAATACTCTGATACAAGCAGCCAGCCATTATTTTGTTTGTCCATTTCCCCTTTGAGAGATGTTATTTGTTTCTAGTTTTCATGGTGTATTTCCTAAACAAAAGGATTACATTAGAATGAAGTATTGGTCTTTTTTCATTGTGACTGGCAGTCAGTTATACACCTGGCTATATGCAAGTGATTTGACTGAATTTTTACTCACCTGAGACAGATTTGCATTAATACAATCAAAGGGAATAATTATAATGAATCTTGCTGTGACAGTATAAATGGGTGAATGATGATTTTGAACTTGTACAATTTTTCTCTTTCTTCATACAAGGTAAGAAGATAAATCATTTTTGAAATTGTGTAAAGTACAATCAAAAGTTTCCTGTCTCCAGCCCAATATATGCAATACCCTAACCTCTCAGGAACCAGATTTTTGTTAGATTTTTACTCTCTGCTGCCCAAAACTCAATCTTGGAAAAAATAATTTTTCTTCCTGACCCCGCTCCCAACCAAACAAATCTAGGACTAACCATCCCCCAGTGGTCCGACCAATCAAATAATGCCTATTAAATTCTGTCTTTGCCTGTTCATAACTTACAGGTGCACTAAGATAAACAATCCTTTCACCTTTCCAATTCAAACCAGCTGGCACTTTGAGACCCCATCATTAGGGATATATTTAAAACAAAGGTTCTTTATTTTAATGCAAATTCTCTCTTTTAAAAATTTTGTAAAATTTTACCTCTTTCATTATTTTCAATTAATGAATCTTAATTAGAACTAAATTTATTCTACCACCATTTTTGCTTTATAAATAAGCAAAACATGTTTCTACGGAAACTGCTCTGTTGTATCACCCCCCAGATGATCCACCAAGAAAAAGCGTTTTGTAAACATATTTCAACTTTGGTTCAAACTGTAGAAATATACACCAATTCCACAAATAATCTGGTATAAGAAAAAATTTTTTATATTACCAGTTCTGGAATTTCTTATGATGAATGCTTGATGTGGCATGTTGACTGTGAGGACAAAATAGTAAATCACACGATTTTCTTAGTGGGAAAGAAACAAATTTCTCTTGTCTGTCTCCATCATTATCTGTCGTTTTCCACCTTGCCTGACTTCAAAATCCACTGTTTCCTTCTAGGTTGAATATATACCAGCAAGAATAACAAAACCTAAAAACAAAAAAAAAAATCTTCCCTGTTTTGGCTCTTCCTTTATAATAATGACCAACCTTACCCAACTTTCCTTCTATGTCCCTTGACTGTGGCCACTACAACCAGGTATTTAGTTTCTCCCTCTACATCTTCCTAGTTCCCCTACATGTTTGCCTTTCAGTTCTTGGTAGGTAGGATTATACCATTTCTTTCCCTTTTTTTCTCTCCATATTACAGCATCTATAGAACTTATGAAGAATATAGTCCAGAAAATTCTTTGTCTAATATTCTTGGAAGGATACAAAATGGAACAATCTCATATGAAAAAGATGAAACTATATCAGTTGAAATGTTAGAATCACAAAAACACAAAAACTGTTCCAAACAAAATATTTAACAAAAAAAAAAATCTTACTCTCTGAGCATTCAAATGTTTTATCTTTTCATTTTTAACAGGAAGATGGCTTTTTAGTGAAAAATGTACAAGTTTATGGAGGATATGTGCTTCACATCGGTGTTACTGAGGGTGTAATCAAGGTTGGTGATGTCTTGAAACAGTCAATCTTTGAGGTGAGTTTAATATTCAGTAAGTCATCCACTCTTACTAATGTGAAGGTTTTTTTCATATAACAAAGCTGGAGTCTGTTATCTTAGAATTTCATGTCTACTTGATGTGCTTACTTGATCAATTTAAGCAAGAGAAGTAGTTTTATTTACCTATTGTCTTTTGGAATTTCCTCTAGATTTCTGGTGCAAGCTGTCCACAAATATTTACATTTTTTATGACATTTGATAGATGACTCATTGATGTACCATGCACAAGTTGTAAAACTCTTGTTTTTAGTTTTTATATTTGTGTTTTTTGTTTTGTTTGTTTTTTTGGGGGGTTTTTTGTTTTGTTTTTGGGGTTTTTTTGTTTTTTTTGGGTTTTTTTTTTTGTTTTTGTTTTTGTTTTTTGTTTTGTTTTTGTTTTTTTTGTTTTGTTTTTTTTTTTTTGTTTTTTTTTTTGTTTTGTTTTTTTTTGTTTTGTTTTGTTTTGTTTTTTTTTGTTTTTTTGTTTTGTTGTTTTGTTTTGTTGTTTTTGTTTTGTTTTTTTTTTGTTTTTGTTTTGGTTTTTTTTTTGTCTGTTTTCTAAAGTTGGTGGCTACAAAATATGGCTGACTGTTAATCTGTGACATTATCAGCTACAGTTGGATGGGCTGACCTAGAAAATACTTATCTCCAGTTTGAGATAACATTTAAATCTTGACTGGAGTGTTATGGCCTGAATACACTTAAACACACTGGTCAAGATAAAACTGTAATGGATATAGACAACTAGATTTTTAAGTGAATATTAAAATTACGCCAAAAGTAACTGCTGTTCAGTCAGAGTTGGTTTTTTTTTGTTTTTTTTTTTATGAAGCAATTTTGGGTGGTCAAGATTGATGAAAAACATCTGTTTCATTCAAACTTAAAACAGGTTGCTAATTTGGATAGCAATTTTTCACTTAATGATTAGAGGAAGCGTCACATGTGGCTTGAAGAAAAAGAGAATTAAATATTTTTTTATTTTTTTCTGGAGATTTGATTTCTCCATAAAATAAATTCATACAGCAATTTCTTGATGCTATTGGCAGTGTCCAGCAGAAATTGAATGATGATAATTTTTTCAAGGGGTGATCTTTTCCATAAATTGAATTCACCTAAATTTAAAATCTGTGAAGAGCCTTTTAGTTGAGATGGTTAGCTTTTAGTTAAGGTTCAGACCACACCTTTTTACTATCCCTAGAAAGGAATTGGCCAACCGGATCAAATGACACCCCAAAGAGAGTAACAACAGGTTGTTTCTAAGAAAGTTGGGGGAAGAAGAGGTGGTGGCAGCTGTGAGTGGAAGTCAGAGATGCTGAAGAAGACAAGTTGGAGTTTGATAAGTGGGTTAACCCTCCCACTCCTACTAAGAAACTGGATAATTGCCCAAAATTGAAAAATCTCAGTTGAGACAAAGGAATGGTTTATCTCAACTGAGATTTTTCAATTTTGGGCAATTACCAGTCAGATACCCATTATAACCTTTTCCTTTATATATATATATATATATATATATATATATATATGTGTGTGTGTGTGTCCATAAAGTTCGTGTGCACTTTAAAGTTATAAATTTTTAAAAGTGCATGAACTTTATGGACACCCTGTGTGTCCCCCGCACATACACACACACCTGGTTTTGGGCAAGGTCTTAGTATTTCAGAGAACAGGGCTGCATGTTGAGCAGAGTAGAATCGCAGACTCCAGAGTAGTTCAGTAAAGTCCACAGAAGAACTCTTTCTCAGAGTTATCACTGATTTGAATCAGAATGTACCTAAGAACTGACTGGGCTACCTTCTGAACCCATGATCATGTCAAGGAAAGAAATGTCCTTTTGACACTGCATTTTTTTTTTTTTTTTTTTTTTTATTGGTATGAAGGTTAAAGATTGCCAATATTTTTTTCTATACAGTAGGGTTACACAGAAAGTAATGCTTCTTATATTGACCCACAACATCAGATTTAAATGTTGGCAGTCTTCCTACCCAGTCACCCATATATTGGCTTATGACTGTCAAGTTTGGCAAAATAGTGTATGATATGAAGGTGTATACAAAAAAGTTATGTATCATTGAATTTTCTCATGAGGAAAAAATTACACTGACTGGCATTCATTGTCATTTCCTGAATACTGAGAGAGACCAAACAATGGTTATGAGTACAGTTAGGTGACAGATAATGCATTTTATTGAAAAAAGGAAGTTGATCCAAATTTTCTGAGTGCTGCAAGTAGGGTCTCATTCGTTGCTGGCAAAATGCAGAGTCAAAGGTGGTGACTAGGAAAAGTGTTTTGTAGCTGAAAACGTACTCTATGCAACATTGTTATTTTGTTTTTTGTATCTGTCGTAGTTTCTCTGGAAATAAATAAGAGGGAGGCCATCCTTGTAAATTGTTGGTAATTATTACACTTGGCCATTTCAGCTTAGAAAAAATTTTCAAAGAACACTATTTTTTGATAGTAAGAGAAACACATACATACATAGACATACACACACACACAGCATAATATATGACTATGCCAACATTGTGATAACCAGACATATTATAATTCAAATTGTGTAACGGTCAGTTCATACTCAACACCTGAAGGTTGTGTCATGCATGAAACTCATGCTAGCAGTGAGGGATAATAAGTGTATGTGTATGATAAAAAACATACTGTAAATGCATGAAACTCGGTCATGTTATCGCCGTTGGATATTTATTTACTAATGTGTGTATATATATATATATATATATATATATATATATATATATATAGCACATTGACTGCTGGTAAAATAGTGCTCAGTGTATAATGACAGAGCTATAATGTATATTAATAAATATACATTTTTTTCCTCACTATTAGTTGTGCTACTGGTGTGGGGGGGGGGCGCATAATATGTGCATGCATGTAAATATATATATAGTTTTGAGGTATGCTATACTTATAGGTTAAAATGCTCAATATCAAGGATAGAGTGTATGTAAATACCCAGCAGCAACAGTCTCTTTCATGCTTAAACTCAATCTTCAGTGTGTGTGTGTGTGTGTGTGTGTATATATATATATATATATATATATATATAAAGATCTTTCCTTGATGAAGAGTTAATATTCTTATCTCACAAGCCATGAGTTTATCACTTTAAAAATATAGTTTTGTCAATTGATTCAATGGACACATATCTGATCAAGCTGAACCTTCAAATTGGAATTGGGAATCATTGGCTGTGGTTTGACCTGAAGAGGGATAGGCTCCATTTGGCCTACTTGCCCAAGACACTATTCAAGAGCGAATACTTCTCTGTCTTTCAAACCAAATATGGAGTGTGAACTGGTCAGGTTCTCAGTTGTGCAACAACCCTAGGACCACACTAGTCATGGATTGGAAGTGATAATAATAATATTGAGCAAAAATTAAATGAAAGCCATTTATAAGGCCTTTCAGATCTTAGCTTTTATTTTGATTAATTTATTATAACTCCTTCATTAGAATGTAGATAGACTTGTCTTAGTGAAATGGCTAAAGATATCTTTCATCAACTGAAAGACTTTTTTTTAATTTATTCATGTTGTCTCTGTTTAGTCCAGAAGAGAAGCAATCATGAAGAACCACACTGGTACACATATGTTGAATTATGGTCTTCGAATAGTTCTACAGGAAGCTGACCAGAAAGGATCTCTTGTGGCACCAGACCGACTTCGCTTTGACTTCACTGCCAAGGTAACTTCTTGAATCTCTCATCCAATTTGCTATTGTAAAATATTGTCTGAAATTCTGATATTAGTTTCTGTAATTATTCTATAAGTTATTTAGGCAAATATCCTAACCATTTTTGTTTTTATCATATTGTTTAGACGAGAGTGTTAGTCTTTGGGTAAAGACTCGTTTGAAACTGTCGTTGCGCAAAGACTCGTTTGAAACTGTCTTTGAATATGACCATTATTTTGTTTTAACACTTTAAACTTTTGGGGGAGAATTCTTTTTACATTATAAATTGAATTCTAAACTGGACACTTACTTTGTGTCTGTTTATATTAAAATAGTATTTTTCATTAGTCCATTAATCACTTTCATTTCCTGTTCAACCATTTCTTTACACAAGCTTATTAGGTAGGTTACTGGCTGTTTGCCTCTGTCTCTCTTGCCTTTAATATGCCGTGTGAGTTAAATTCTTCAAGCCTTACTAAAAGAAAAGGAAGAATATTAAAAAGTTGTAAGCTACGATTGCTTATGTCTTGAAGAGATGAGGCATTTAAAATTCTCTAGAAAAAAAACACTTTCTTATTGTCTGTTAGAATGCCACCTCTGTCTTTTTTTTTCTGTTTTTTTTTCCTTTTTTTCTCCTTTTTTCTTTCCTTTTTTTTTCCATTTCTCTTTCCTTTTTTTTTTCCATTTCTCTTTCCTTTTTTTTTTCCATTTCTTTCCTTTTTTTTTTTTTCCATTCCTTTTTTTTTTTTTTTTCCATTTCTCTTTTTTTTTTTTTTTCCATTTCTCTTTTTTTTTTTTTTCCATTTCTTTTTCCTTTTTTTTTTTTTTCTTTTCCTTTTTTTTTTTTTCCATTTCTCTTTTTTTTTTTTCCATTTCTCTTTTTTTTTTTTTTTTTCCATTTCTTTTTTTTTTTTCCTTTTTTTTTTTTTTTCCATTTTTCTTTTTTTTTTTTTCCATTTTTCTTTCTTTTTTTTTTCCATTTCTCTTTCCTTTTTTTTTTTTTTCATTTTTTTTCCTTTTTTTTTTTTTTTCCATTTCTCTTTCCTTTTTTTTTTTTCCATTTCTCTTTCCTTTTTTTTTTTCCATTTCTCTTTCCTTTTTTTCCATTTCTCTTTCCTTTTTTTTTTCCATTTTCTCTTTTTTTTTTTTTCCATTTTTTTTTTTTTTTTTTTTCATTTTCTTTTTTTTTTTTTTCATTTTTCTTTTTTTTTTCCTTTTTTTTTTTTTTTTTTCTTTCCTTTTTTTTTTTCCATTTCTTTTTTTTTTTTTCCATTTCTTTTTTTTTTTTTTTTTTTTCCATTTTTTTCTTTCCTTTTTTTTTTTTTTCCATTTCTTTTTTTTTTTTTTCCATTTCTCTTTCCTTTTTTTTTTTTTTTTTTTTTTTTTTTTTTTTTTTTTTTTTTTCCATTTCTCTTTTCTTTTTTGGTTTCCATTTCTCTTTTCCTCATTGTTTTTTTCCTATTTTTGGTTGGTGGGGGTAGTGAAGATTTCTCAAAAGTTTTGAATCAATAGCCTTAACAAACTAATACATCTAATGTTTATTTATTGCAGGGAGCCATGACTGTAGACCAAGTGCGCAAGACTGAGGAGCATGTCAATGAAATGGCTTCACAGAATGCTATTGTGTATGCAAAGGAGGCTGAATTGTCTGTTGCCAAATCTATTCAAGGTTTACGTGCCATGTTTGATGAGGTAAGAGAAATGATTTCTTTACTGCACATTACCCCCACCCCCCTACACCTCAACCTCATACTCCACCTTGAAAACAAAATCTGTACAAGCCAGTTTTTTGTCTCTTGTATTTTCTTCTTTTGGTCAAAGTTTTCTAGTTTCTTCCTCTCTGTCTCCTGGAATAATAACCTTTAGATTTTGGCTTTAATGCTTTTGCCCTTGGTGAAGTATTTGAGTAACTTCCAAAGATGACTATTGAAAGTTTTAAACATTCCCCACCCCCACAAAAAAAATTGTTAGGTTTGATTTTAAAAATAAAAAAGTTTTTATGGCTTGCCAATTTTTTCAGGTTATTTAAAACCAGAAAATATTTTTAGATTATAAGAATTTTTTGGAGATAATAATGATTTACTGATACAATTCCTAGTTATTAACCCATAGCTGAAGGAAGAAGAGGTGGATTTGTACCTTTCCCCCAAAGATATTTGTGTATAATGGAATATAATGAACCTGACTGGAATTGAAACTTGGCTCTCTGACTTCCAATCCAGAGTAACTTGTCCAATGAGCCACTTGCAGATCCATGCTTATAGCACTTGATATTCCTAAGCAGTCAACCATCTATATGCTAACCAGGTTTAACATTGCTTAACTTCAGCGATCGTATGAAAACTGGTGTTTCAACATGTGGTTGCAAGCCCCCTCCCACTTCAATTATTATTATTATTATTATTATTATTATGGAGTCTGTTAGCCATAAAACAGTTTGTTTTTTTTTTCTGTTCTTAAATTCGTTTGCATTGGTTGCAAGTATCAGATCTTAAATTTAAAAATGAAAGTTTCTAATGTTTAGATTTTCTGTGAAGCCAGATTGCTTTTAACTGACCAGTAGTCAACATGCATTAATAATTTTTAGTCAACAAATGATTGATAACATTGATAAAATCAACCAAACCACCCCTTCCTAGAAAAGCTTGAAATGTTATTAGCTTCACCTTTTACAGTTAGAAAATAAATAACTCCTATGAAATATTTAGTAAACAAAACTAGTTTTGTTTTGGAGGCGTCAATATTTACAAGTCATTTCCTGCCCCAGTTAATGACTGATTTTAAAAAAGAAAAAAAAAAGAAAAAAAAAGACCATCCTTATTTTTGATGCTTTTAACATAATGAGGATATTTGTCTGAATCACCTTTTCAATTATGAGATTTCATTTCAGAACTACCAACTAAAACATATTCAAAATAAGTGATGTCAATGTTTGAATAAGTTACCAAACCTAACATTAACCCTTTTCATCAGTCCTCTTATATGGCAGTGAATGCTGGAGAATCTACTCACAAGTGAAGAAGAGACCAAAAAATGCAGAGAATGCCATGGAGCAAACATGTGAGCAACAACAAAGTTTTAGAGAAAACAAAAACAAAAAGAACACCTATGTTTAACACCAGAAAGAGATAGTTGAAATTTCTAGGCCACATAATGAGGAAAGAGGGCTTATAATTCTTAAAACTTAAATCCCATTAAAAAAAAAAAAAAATTATAAATTTTTTTTACGTAATAACCTATGGATTGATATTTCAGGTATACCCAGACCCTGTGCGAATTGTGTCCATTGGAATTCCTGTGGAAGATCTTGTTGCTGACCCAATGGGACCTGGAGGTACCAAAACATCTGTGGAGTTTTGTGGAGGAACGTGAGTGTAATAAACAAGTTTTAATGGCATCAAATATAATGGTTTGTCCTATTTCTATAGTGGTAGGATGTTCAAATATGCTTGGAACTTCTGTTTTTGTTAGTTCTCAATTTATTCAACATATTGGTTGAAAAGAGAAGTTGATAGAAATAGGGATGAGGCTTTTTTTCAATGAAATAAGAAACCCATTTCATTTGACCACCTCTTCTCCCCCTAACTATGGGTTAATTAGTAAGACTTGTATCTCTAAATCATTTCCAAAAAACAATTCTTACGATGGAAAATTATTTTCTGGCTTTAAATAACCTTCAAATGGTTGATAAGACGTAGAAAAAATATTTGACCATCCCCAACTGTAATCATCTTTTTTTTTTTTTTTTTTCCACCCTTAGTTTCTGGTTAGTTTACTGGTTACCTTTTTATACATTTTCATTGACTAGTTAAAAATTTGTACATGCCAGAAGGTTTTTCTTTCCTGACTCCATCCTTCAAATCTACAAATCAACCATTTGTCCTTGCATAGAATACTGATGCCATATATGGTCTGGTGCTCCTGCTATTCATCTCAAGGTCCTCAACAAAATCCAGAGACGGATATATACAACATGGTTGGTCCTGATCTGGCATCCCATCTGCAGTTGCTATCTCACAGACTTCCCTCTGTCTTTTCTACAAGTACTTTCATGGCAACTGCTCAACAAGCTACTTTCACTGGTTCCCAAACTGCATGAATTTAAGCATGCTACTAGGTTGGCATCTCGGCCCCACCCTTTTACTGTTGAAACGACTAAATGCAGCCATCTCTTCTACTCCAACAGCTTCTTATCTTGCACCTCCCATCACTGGAACTCCCTTCCTCTTACTTGCTTCCCTGATAGCTATAATATTCAAATGTAATGTCAGTCGACATATTCTGATGCTTTGATCTTGATCCCTGTCCTTCTTTTTATCCTTTTCACTCCTCTTTACTCTTACTCTCACTCTCTGTAACCCCTTGCATGCTAGTGGCACACCTGCCTTGCTTGGAATAATTTGCTTAAAAAAAAAACAACATAATTTGATTATGTACTCTCCCCAACTATGTGCAACATTCACATGTACTACCATAACTTTATATCGTCAGACCATGCAGTTGAATATATTACACTGAGTGCCATTTATTTCTCACACTCCTTTATTTGACATATGATTATAAAGAAAAAAATTTATGGGAATATTGCAAAGAGAAAGATGACTTTAATAAGGCTGGCTATCTAGTAAAGTCATGAAAAGGAAGCCATAGTAAATCTGTTAGTTTTACTTATTAATTGTTGTCAGGTAGACTCACTACTATTATGACATCATCACTTATTGGATGAAATCCTCATTCTGGATGTAGAGTCAAAGTTGTTGTAAACAAGAGGGATAGATGAAGGTTGTTAGTGAGTGACATATAGTGAACTGGAATTACCATTCAATTGACCAAAAGCTCTTTGTAACTTGATACCAATCAAGAACAAGGATATACAAACAAAATAGGGCATTAAGTCAGCCAGGATTATGCTGATATAAGATGTTGAAAAGTTCTTGTCCCAACCAAGAAGGAACTTTAAAAAAAAAAAAAATGGACTGATGTTTGGTCATATAGTCAAATATCTCACGTCCTGAAGGAACATGGTGCATAAAAAAAAACCTGTCAATTCTTCCATATGATGCTGCCTGTCTATCCACCGAGTTACTGTACATCTCTGCACTGCATGACCCTGAAATTGGGTTTTGTGAAAAATCAGAAGAATTTTGCCAATATATTTTTTATCCACTAACTGGTGCTTCAAGACTCTCCGTTTCCAGAATGTTATTGAATGCAACAGACAACCCCTGTTACTGACAGAATAGGACTATGAGATGTCAAATAGAAATGTATTGATAATGATTCTACAATAAAAATGCATTGAAAATCAAAAAGAAATGGATTGTTAGTGGTCATGAATTAATACAAATATTACTGACAAAATAGCAATATTAGATATAGAATGGAAATAGATTGAAAAATCAAGAATAAAATTGTCAGTGATCATGAATTAATGAAAGTGTTAACAGAACAAAGTATATAGAGTACCAGGACAGACATTGGATACAGTGTAACATTTGAATAGGGTTTTATTATTCGTTTCTATGTACAGCAAATTTGACCAATACTTCATAGGAATTTCTCACAATGTATCTCATTGGATACTCTCATGTGATTAAATATCTAAATAATTTGGTAGACAAAACTTTGTTTTTTTTTTTTGTTTTTTTGTTTTTGTTTTTTTGTTTTTGTTTTTAGCTATGTATCTTTTTGAATTTGCAAGATGTTGATTATAATATAATTTGATAATTTTATTTTCCATTTTTTACTCCTCAGCCATATTCAAACATCAAAGCACATTGGGGAAATGGTGATTGTGTCTGAAGAAGCAATTGCCAAGGGAATCAGAAGAATCATTGCTGTTACTGGCACAGAAGCTGCTAAGGTAAAAAAAAAAAAATAAATAAATAAAAATTCTGATTTAAAAATATATGATATTATGAGTCCCCACCACACAATTGGATCAAGACACCAACATTGACGTAGACAATAAATGATTTTATCCTGTTATATAGGAATAAAGTGTTGCTGCCAACACTTGAGTTTGAACATAGATCGCAAGTGAGCAAACACAGGCAGTCCAATTATTGAATTAAGTAGACCACATGACCATAGAGGAAACATATATAGGAAGTCACGTGAACATAGATCGCAAGTGAGCAAACACAGGCAGTCCAATTATTGAATTAAGTAGACCACATGACCATAGAGGAAACATATATAGGAAGTCACGTGAACATAGATCGCAAGTGAGCAAACACAGGCAGTCCAATTATTGAATTAAGTAGACCACATGACCATAGAGGAAACATATATAGGAAGTCACGTGATATCTAGAGGATCTGCATTTCTAGTCTATCCTCTATTACTATACGGACCGCTATTCTCTACTCTATTCACTATACTATTTCTCTATTCAGATCACTATACTACGGTGATTACTTTCCGAGCAAGTATTATCAAGCAAGTACTATTAGTGCGAGTGATATTCGAAGGCATCTGACACCAGCATTGTTCAATGGCATACTATAGAGGTATCTGCGATTAAAAAGTCTCTACTGCAAGACTACCTTCATAGAATGAGCTTAACTACTGCTCCCTTGGTGATTATTAACCTCTAATAAAATCATAAAAACTTTTTTCTCCTAAAATACCTCCTTGCTGTTAATACTAGTCACCATGCTTCAACTTGGTTCAACCCCTTCACTTTTCTACACATATACATACATGTAGAAAACTTTTTCCCTCCAAAAATATATGCCTTGACAGGCCTTTTGATAGACAAACCCTCGCCGGTGAGGTTGTTTTTGGGTCCCAGTAATGAAGAACATTATTCACTGGTAAACATTTTACCATTATTTCTATTCCTTTTGTTTTGCCTTCATTTGGCCAATATCAGAAAAAGACTCGTGTATGTATTTTCATTCAGTCTTAAATGTTAGTATTATTTTAAATCCTGGTTATATAGTCATATATATTAATATTTTAATCAAAATCACCCTAGACCTTACTACTACTACTTTTTTTTTTCTTTCTTTTACTACCTGTTTTTGTTAACTTAAGTAAATTTAGCAAAAATTAACTTTCAAACTTTCATCATTTGGTTTATTTTGTATTTGTATATTTTCATTTCTTTGTCACATCATATATATATATATATATATATATATATATATAATTATTTATTTAAAAAATATAATTTCAAATCATGAATCATATTTTTTAAAGAAATAATTATATTTATGCTCTACTTTTGTATCGAGCACTATTTTTTAAAAAATAATAACTAAAAATACTAAGGGACTTTTGGATTATTTACCTAACCAGTTCCTTCCTATTTTCTATATATTTTCACATATATAACACACACACACACATTAGAGATGTGCGATTTAACCGAAAAAATTATTTTTTACAGTTTCAGCTTAACGCTGTGAAACTCCATCAAAATTTTTTACGAAACTGAAATCGTTTGGGTTGTAATCACTACTGAGTGAAAATATCCAAAGAAACACTATTGAAAAAGACTTTCAGATGTTAATAAAAGTAAATTTTATCAACATTTATACCATTGTAAGAGAAAAAGAATGAACAAAAATGTTAAAAACATTTAATTGACTAGTTTTAGGAAATAAATGTGAAATCTATTTGTTTACAAAAGAAATGAGGAAGAAAAATACAGTACACTAATCATGAAAAGTTGTTGTAAACCAGAAAAATGAATGAAGATTTTTTTTTTTTTTATAAATAATTTTGTTTTTTTATCTAGGGAATGCACCTAAATTAGATATTAAGAATTAAAAATTAAAATAGTTAATTTCACTTTTAAAATTTGTATTATTTACAAATGGTGCTGTTGACCAGGAATTTGACCCAGGTGAGAGATGCAGGTGTTTCATGCAGACTTGCATCTTATACCTCATCAGCTTGTCTTTTAAAGATGGCGTCTTAGTCAATTCAATTACATATGTCTACAGCTAGACAAATCTACAGTCATATTACTAACTCTCTACCCCAATTCTTCATACCAACTTAGAGATAAAATATTTTAATATAATTTTTTTGACTTGCTGTTTAATGGTTAAAAGCAAATTGTAATAAAAAAAAACAAACAATAATATAAAGAAAATATTAGCCAAAAATGAATAATACTTGACGTCAGGGTTCAAATAGTCTGAGACTGTTCACTTTTCTTACTCCCATCTCTGATGATGACTCCTATGAATGAAAAGATTAGGCCAATAGGAATTTTTAGCTATTTTATGTATTAACAACAGCCACATTTGTGAAATGTTAATTGCATACTAAAAAAATAAAATGATCAATAAGTTTTTTAATAGACCTAAAATATCTATTCTTAGTAAGACATATTTACAAGAACAATTACTGCCAAAATATACTGAACACAGAGCATTAATGTTTTTTTCAAGTCCTCTTAATTTATTATAGCTTGTTTAAATAAAATGTTTACATGACATAAAGTGGATCAAGTAAGTATTTAATATAGTTTAATGTGTGTTTGATTGCATATTTTGTGTTTGTAGGCTAACCATAAAGCATCAGTGTTGGAAGAGGAAGTGACCACTCTTGGTACCAAGGCTAACAATCCAGAATGTAATGACCGCCAGGTGTCCAAAGAAGTCACTCAACTTGATGAGGTGAGTACAATTAAAGAAATAGTATTTCTTCCAATTTTTATTTGTTGCTTTAAACAGGATTCTTAGTTATGACTTTTTGCTTTTGTTTTTACATCCAATGAAAATAGTAAATTGAGCATTTGAATAGATTGTAAAAACTACAAAAAGTATAACCGTAATATTATAGACAACCATGTGGAAAAGAACAATGTGGATTTATCTCAATCTCAAATATTTCTGTTTTATAGCCAGAAGGTGGTTCTTTTTCTTTCTTTCTTTTCTTTTTTCTTTCTTTTCTTTTTTCTTTCTTTTCTTTTTTCTTTCTTTTCTTTTTTCTTTCTTTTCTTTTCTGTTTTTCTTTTGTTTTTTTTCTTTTTTTTCTTTCTTTTCTTTTTTCTTTCTTTTTTTTTTTCTTTCTTTTTCTTTTTTTTTTCTTTTTTTCTTTTCTTTTTCTTTTCTTTTTCTTTTCTTTTTTTTTCTCTTTTTTTTTTCTTTTTTTCTTTCTTTTTTCTTTTCTTTTTTTCTTTTCTTTTTTTTTTTCTTTTTTTTTTTTTCTTTTTTTTTTTTTTCTTTCTTTTTTTTTTTTTTTTTTTTTTTTCTTTTTTTCTTTTTTTTCTTTTTTTTTTCTCTTTCTTTTCTTTTTTCTTTTTCTTTTTTTTTCCTTTTTTTTTTTTTTTTCCCTTTCTTTTTTTTTTTTTTTTTTTTTCCTTTTTTTTTTTTTTTTTTTTTTTTTTTCTTTTTCTTTTCCCTTTTTCTTTTTTTTTTTTCCCCTTTTTCTTTTTTTTTTTTTTTCCTTTTAAGTCTAGTTTTTTACTGAAGGGTAACAGAAATGTAAAGGAGTGAATGAGGGGTTTTTGAAGACCAGTTACAACAAATTGGGCATTGATTATTTTCGGATGCTGTTCTATATTAAGTCATGTTTGGGTTCAGAGTTAGTTTGGTGTGAGACAGACATGTCCATCACATGGTTCTGATGCCACACATCAAAATGTGTAGATGGGTGAGAAGTTGGCAGAGGGGAAGAGTTGATGTAATAGTTGTTGTTCCAAGTGTTGCATACCTACCCAGACAGAGGAAGAAGTGAAGCCACAAATAAAAAATACCTATAATTATTTCTCAGCATGGTGTTCGTCTTTTATCTTTTTACTTTGTGAACACGCAGCAAGCCCTTTCCTAGGTTTCGATGAACACCAATAAGATTGAGAATCGAAATGCAACATAGAGTAATCATGAGGTGGAAAATTTGGGTGAGGGATACATATGTTTTACATAACAACTTGAAACTAGCATATTCTAGTGTCATTAGTGAAATATCTTGTCAGCCAATCCAAAACATTCTAGATGCATGCTTTAATTACCTTCATTGCCATCTATGAATTGTAAGAAGACTCAAGACAAGTTTCTCTTGAAATATCTTAACAGCTACTATTAAATGTTCATTTTCAGAACATCACTCAATCTGGGATCTCCCACTGGAAAAGAGATGAGCTTCGTTCTAAACTAAAGGACATCAAGAAGGTTTTGGATAACCGGGACAAAGCAAGAAAAAATGCCATTCTCAATGAGGTAAATTGATCTTTTTTTCTTTTCATACTTTTCATTTTGCTATATAAATATCTTACCATATATGCCGACTTTATGTATAGTGCAACTCCTAATATTTTGTGAAAAACCTGATCTTTTTCATATAGTGCATGTATAATGCAACCCCAGTGTCAAAGCAGTGCTATAGTCAAATATTGCAGTAGTGGACCTCATCCTGGACATATTTTATAGCAAATAAATGGTCTTCATTCTTATATAATATAAAAAGTAAAAGACAATAGGAAAGCTGTATTATTCACTGACACATTTCGTCCAATGTGGACTTTTTCAAGGCAAAAATGAAATGAATTTATTGAAAACAAAAGTAACTATTAACAACAAACAAAATGGCCTTAAGAACTAGAAGAATTTAGAAAACGCTATTGTATTTATATTGTCAACTGAAAATTACGTCAAATACTTTCATATGTAGAAATATTGTTTTTATTTTTGTGTTAATGGATTCAACCATTTTCTTTTGATTTCTTAATATAGTTGTGTACGTTGGCTTAGGAGAGTAGTAATTCTGTTAAAAAAGATGATATTGGGGAAAAAACCTGAGCGTAGATTAATATTTGTATAATATTCAATGGTGGCACTCTCAAGGATTTTCCTTCTGAGTGAGTTATTTTCTTTTTTTTTATGAGTAACATTTTTAAAATCAAAATTGTGTTTGAACTTATTTCTATGTATGACTAGTGCATTAGTTAAATTGTTTTTTGTGAGGTCTCTTGTGCTCATAGATGCATTTTTTTTAATTTTCTGCTTGTTTCCCCAATATATTGGGAGGAACAGTTTTGGCAATTTATTTTATAAATGCCTGCTTCAGAAATATTAGTGCTGTTAGTGTTTGAAGATCTGATTATGTCCATAATGATTTTGGAAGTGTTTGTGATTATTTTAAAATTATTTAGATGGGATAGGTTGTTCTGGATAGTGGATGTGATGGAGTTGGTCGGTACTATTATGCATCAGTTTTCATGAAATTTATTATTGCGGATTATGTTACTTTGGTTTCGGTTGTATATTTTGTATGTCTTTCTTCTTGCATTGTGGATGAAATGATATTGGTATTGTAGGTTTTTGAATGTGTTTTCTATGTATGTTCCTTCTTGGGGGCTGCAGATTCTAAATGCTCTCAGATAGAAACCTATAATAATTCCAGATTTAATTTTAGAAGAGTGGTTTGAGTAGAAACTGATCAGGTAATTTTGTTTGTAGCCTTTCTGTAAATGTCAAAATTGAGTTCGTTATTGTTTCTGTGTAATACGATATCTAGGAAGGGGATAGTGTAGTTGGCTTCAGTTTCAAAAGTGAAATCTATTGTAAGTTCAACGTTGTTAAGTTGGTTGAGAAGATCTGTTAAATTAGTATTTTGTGGACATATTAATAGTGAGTCGTCTATGTATCTGAAATAGGAAGAGTTTGGAAGGAGAATCATTTTGAATGGCTCACTTTCTAGAAACTCTAAAAATAGTCAGGCAAGAACACCACTGAAAGGAGATCCCATTGATAAACCAAATTTTTGTCTGTATAGTTGGTCATCAAATATAAAGAAACGTTGCTTAGTGATTAGCTGGTATATTTTTAGGATTTTATGTGTAGGTAGAGGTAATTTAATTTTTGCTTTTGTTAAGTGTTTTTTAATAAATTTAAGCATTTCTCTATAGGGACATTTGTGTATAGAGATTTTATATCTAAACTAGCCATATAATTTTTAATGTCTGTTTTTTAATTTGTTTAGATCACCTGAATTTTTTATGTGTGATGGACTAATAGTGCTGAGGAGTGGGGTTAAAATTCTCCTTAGTTTGCAGGCTAGTTTATGTGGGGCGCTGCCTATCCCTGATATGATAGGTTTCATTGGTATGTTTGGTGTTTTTGGATGGCATTCAATAAGTTTTATCCAGGAGAAGTCTTCATTTTTAGTAGCTTTTTCTACAGGTTAACTCAAAAATTTTTCATATATAGCTACCCCAAAAAGGTGAGAATGACCACTTACCATAAGGTATCTGATACAAAAATTTAGATACCATACTTTTGTTTTCATTGATACCTGCCTACAGTAGCTTCTTTATCCTAGGCCTGCTTTCTACATAGCCTATGTTTCTTCAGTTTTGTCTCTACATGAAAAGCGAAATCTCGTCCACTATGTATACCACTTACAATCATAAAATACCTTTTATATAAATGAAGAATTAATAGATTTTTTTCATTCAAATGTAAGGTCAATCGACATCTCCAGTTGCCTTGATCTATCCACTATCCTTCTCTTCATCCTTTCCTCTATCACTCCTATCTGATCTTGCTCCAAATCTTCTGTAACCCCTTGCGTCCTAGTGGCTTCCTGCCTTGCTTGGGGTGAAACGCTTAAAAAAATATATATATCTCAAATATGCATTCATCTTCATTTTGCAAAGTGTTTACATCATTGAGGTATTGTCTTTCCAATGACAACCTTTTCATTAGAATTATCCATACATGATGCTGGGTGCCCCACAAGTTAAAGTACAGACTTCAGGTTATAATAATTCAAGTCATTCTAAGTAAAAACTATTTTATACACATTTTTTTTTTTTTTTGCTAGAAAATGTATGAATTTTAAGTGCTTCAGAAAAAATTTACCTGTGTCTAGTGCAACTGGTCACTGAAAATAACCATGTCAAAAAATTACATGTGTATAGTGCAGATATGTTTTTTGTATTAAAAAAAAAACCCTTAACAAAAAAAAAAAAAAAATCTATACTAAAGTACATACAGTATTTTATTACTTCTTGGTGGGAATTTTCAAAATCCTATATTTTGTAATATAAAGAGTAAATAGTACCAAATTTAATCTTAGTGTTGTCAGTGAACTCTGCACATTTTGGTTAGTGGTCTTTTAAAAATATTAAAAAAAACACAAATTACTGACTGAGTTACTTTTTGAGTTGAAAGATTTCAGCATTAGAAAAGTTTAGAAAAATGATTTTAAGCAGAAAAATATAACAATTTTTGTCTGAATTTTTGGCACAATATGGTGGTATGATGACAAAGAATGTGGCCCAAAAGAAAATAAGAGATATAATTGTTCATCTTGTCTACTTTCTGGCATTAAATTTTTTTTTTTGCTCCAATTAGTAATAAATATTGACTAGATAATTTCATATTTAATTCATAGTTCAAAGAAATTTCTTAAAATATATCTCCTCAGCTATACCCAACTGATTTAAATATGTAATTTTTTTTTATAGACAATATCCCTATTTTTTCCTTTTTTTAAATCTCTTTTGGAACTTGAAAGTTGTTGATAATATGATATGACATAAGAATTTTTCATTTTTATATTAAAAGGAATATCTGATATATATATATATATATATATATATATATATATATATATATATATATATATATATATATATATAAAAATAAAAACACTAATATTCCATGGTCATAATTTATTCCATTGAATTGTAAATACAATCAATTCATCAGACCTACAAATTTGTAGGTCTGATGAATTGGAGTGTTTAAGCCATTTTATTATATCCTTACTCTGTCTTGGACATTGAGTTCTACCTGGATTCTATCCTCTTGGAATAATTTTTTTTTAATACAAATATGTATGTATGTATATATATATATATATATATTTATATATTTTGCATATGTATATGTATATTTACCACTAATATTTTATGTATGTATGTATGTATGTATGTATGTATATATATATATATATATATATATATATATATTTTGCATATATATATTTTGCATATTTTATGTATGTATGTATTATGTATGTATATATATATATATGTTTATGTATTTTGTATATGTATGTGTATATTTATATATATATATGTTTATATATATTATATTTATATATTTTGTATGTGTGTGTATATTTACCACTAATATTTTATGTGTATATATATATATATATATATATATTTATATATTTTGCATATGTATGTGTATATTTACCACTAATATTTTATATATATATATATATATATATATAATGAGAAAGGTAGGCAGCATGTAATATTTGTCCAAACAAGTTTGATTAAAAAAGAACTGACAAGTTTTTGCCTGTTGAATTTTGTTTTACAATTTTCAAAAGAATAGCAGGATGTAATGAAAGGAATTTTGCCTGCCACACGGACGCCACATTGGTTCTAGAAAATGACTGAGACAGTTGAAAGTACTTGAATAAAACACCAACACAAATATGAACTCTGAACAGTTTATCCCCATACTCAACATCTTTGAAAATTAGAAAAATACAATAATAAAATTAAACGAACTGACCTTGTCAATTCTTTTTAATCATACATGTTATATACATGCGCTATAAAGTTTGGTTAATTACTAATGAAAGTTCTTTAAGGATTTTATTTTTTCTATATTTTGGGCTATATTTTTGGTTTCCAATGCAAGTTTTTATATATATATATATATATATAAAATTGTCCAATGTCTGTGTACTTTTTTGGCTTTCATTAGACATTATCAAAGAATTTTTGGTTTTTTTTTTTTTTCTTGTATTTCATCTTTAAGCATCATGTTGGTGTTCTAAAATATCGCAATTTCACATGTCAGTTCTTGTGGTCATGCCATTTTTATTTTTTTATCTTAAATATACTTAATGTTTGTTCCTAAATTTGATAACAGCTTATGGACGTTGGGTTGTATGTTAATGCTTCTAGTATTGATAGTCATTTTTTACATGATATAGCACCTTTTGTGTTATTAGTAAGGCTTTGGCTGTGTTGTTGTTTTATCAACTTTCAACCCCAATTAAAATCCATGATCTGGCTGTTTCTCAAGGCTTCTACTCATTCCTCCATTTATAGAGCTTAGTTTGAAATACATTTCACTACTTTGTAATATTAGAGCATGCTTGCTAGCTGAGGTAGTCTTTATTTTCTCATGAGCACAGTTGATTGCAGTTCAGATACTAATTCTTGGAGCAGTCAGTTCTGTCGACATGGAAGGTTATACTGTGCCAAATCTCTCCTACACACATCCGGACACATATACATGTGACTCTGTTCATCTAAGCTAAGCCTTGTAAAAAAAAAAAAAAAAAAAATATTGTAAATTGACTTATAAAATTTCTTTCTTCAGGTTCTGGAAGAGGCAAAGAAGATGATTGCTGAAGAAGGTGATTCTGTTCCATTCAAAGTTCATGAATTCAAGCCTGGTTCAAATGCAAAGGTAAACTGCAAAACAACTTTTCATTATTTGGAGTAAATAAGTAAATAACATGGCTCCTCCCAACCCAAAATATCTAGCTTCAAAATCACTTTGTAAATTATAGAACAACTGTTATTGTTTGAGATTGGTCTGCCGGTTGAGGTGAGTTCTATTCACAACCTCCTATTCAGCAGAAAAGTTCTAAGATAACTCCAGAATAAAACCTGCATATATCATAGAAAATACAGTTTAATATATGTGGCCAAGTGGTTAGAACATTTTCTTTCTGACCTATAAGAACTGTATTTGGATCTCACCATGGTCAATTTGCCAGGATGGTGACGATGTTATTGGCCTGGGGAGGCACTTTTGGAAAGAGCCTGAAAAACCATACTACAGGTTGACCCAAGCCATGTGAGTGAAATTGAGTAGACAGAACTATTTACAAGTCACTGGTAGACAATTAGGGATATATATATATATATATATATATATATATATATATATATATATATATATATTTATATAATTTTTATTTAAAAATATGATTCCAAATAAGCTACATAATATCTCATGTTTCAAAACATAATCCTTTTTAAACTAAAATATAATCCTTTAAATTTCGCCTTTTGTTTTAAAGACCTTTATGTATTTATTTGGAATCATATTTTTAAATAAATAATTATATTTATGCTCTACTTTTTTGTATCGAGCACTATTTTTTAAAATAATAACTAAAATACTAAGGGACTTTGGATTATTTACCTAACCAGTTCCTTCCTATTTTCTATATATTTTCACATATATATATATATAATATATATATATATGGGTGTGTGTGTCAAACCTTACCTATGTCACAACACTCACTAGTTCTATGAAATTCACCTACCCAGATGATGACTTAGGAAAGTCAAAAGCTTGGATCATATTCCTTGTACTTTTCTTCCATGAGGGAAATTTCTGATGGAATTTCCTCCTTGTCTGCAAATGTTATACATAATTTGGAAAAGTCAATCATTAAAATTAATCAACACAAAATGTCTGCTTTTTTTTGTGTGTGTGCATTACTTCTAATCACAATAGGGATGACTGCAAAACACTTTCTCCTCCCCAATTTATATGCAAAAGCACACAGATGCATGCTGGGATTTCTTCCTAGCCAATAACACAGCTGGTTTTCTGTTTCATCTGACTTGGTCCAGATCTGCCAACTTAGGTGGTTCACAGCTGACTTGTCAAACTTTCTGTCTTTGGGCAGAGAGGCTATGCCAATGGGCAGAGTCACATCTGAAGAAGTGGACAAGCCCAACCCCATGTATGTGGGGTCTACGGGAATTTTTGCCCAAGTGTACCAGCTCAGATTAGCCCCACATAAAAAAACAGCTTTGTGCCACATCATGACTTGTAGGGAGGTGAGGTAAATAACCTCAGCCCTGGTCTGTCTTGCCTTGGAGTCAAAATGCTACGTTTGTTAATCCAAATTTGCTCCTGTGTGTCAACCTCAATTCTTAGTTTGTGAACTTTTCGCCATATCGCTGTTGCTTTGTCTTAATGTCAATTTGCCTTGCATATATTGTTTGTTTGCTTTATATTAATTTTACCCTATTCTCTTCTTTTTCTTATTGTAAACTTTGTCAAGTCTGTTGAGCACTTCTGCCATTTATTTACATTTAACCATGGTCACTCACTTGACATGTATGTATTAATTTGTTTTTTTTTATAAAGGCTTTAGATTCTGCAATTAAACAATACAAGAATCTCAGTCCCCAGACTGCCGTAATCTTCTTTGCGGTTGACGCTGGAAAAGTTTTGTGCATGAGTTATGTACCCAAGGTAAGTGAATAAATGTAACAAGTAAATTTTTTTAAAAAAAGTCACACACACACACATATATATATATATATATATATATATATATATATATATATATGAGAGAGAGAGGACATTTTTTTTTATTATAAGAAGAATAAAGATGATTTTTATACACATAGGTTCTTTTAATTATTGACAGAAATATATATGTATCTGGGTCCCCATTTGTACATTAAAACATTTTTTAAGTACCTTGTGGCATCAAAATAATATAAATCACAAAGAAAGGTTATATTGAACTGAGATTGATGAAAGAAAGAACTAATCTAGACTCTTAATCAGAACCCATTAGTGAAGAATGGAAACACAACCAGATTGAATGCTGGTTTAACTTATACTAAATTTACTCTATCTTGCTGACTAAAATTTACTAAATCCCTCTCTGGACCACCTGGCCTTGATTAATAGTTTCTTAGAAACAAATTGGTTAATCTAAATGAAGCTTGTGTTTCATAACTATTCAGCTGATTTATAGAAAGGGTCACATTTTTGGTCTTAGGACACTTGTCATCATTAGGGGCATCTGGTTTTCAGACAAAGAATCTAGGAGGTATTTTCAGTTTTTTTTTTTTTTTTTTATATATGTATACTAATGTTCACTTAATACAGGACTCAAGAACCACTTAAGGTTACTGTACAGTGTTGTATAAGTGTAAGAAAAGGCAAGAAGTGAAGTTCATGGGATTATGCAGGAAAGATGTGGTTAACACTAAATTTGAAGAGGTCAGTATTGTAGTGATTAGGGAAAAAACATCCTGCCAAGAGTCTGTTCCCCGAAGCAGCTGCGCTTGGAAAGAAACACTGAATGGAACTTACTAGAAATTAGTTTTGCATCAATGTCAGTAGAGGCAAGTTGACTTTTTCAGCAACATGTTTGAAGTTATAAATAGTAGACTCTGAATGACTGAACACAAACACAATTACTATACTGGACAAACCAACAATATCAATTACAGATGTAAGAGCTTATAGCCACAGTCTTGTACAAGATCATATATGGTTATTTGAAATATTGCAAAGAGAGAATACTAAAAGGCAAGGAATGTAAATAAACAATGGAGCCAATTTTTTATCCTTTTGTAAGAAAGATTTTGGGCCTGCATAACAAATAAAAAGAATAACAAATAAAAAAATTTGAGATGTTTATGATTTAATTTAAATGTTAATAAATAAGCCAAAACATTTTTTTTAATTCAATATTTGTATTCTTTTGCTTAATTGACTGATGTAGAAATGGGTTCAGTTTTTTTTCTTTTTTCTCTTTTTTTTTTTTTTTGGTAAAACATCTAAAAAAATAAATAAATAAAAATTTTGTTTTTAATTTTTAGGAAAAGACCAATTCCTTGAAAGCCAATGAATGGGTGAAGTCCGTAACCCCTTGTATAAATGGCAAGGGGGGTGGTAAAGATGTATCTGCACAAGCAACAGGGACCAATGTCGGAGCTGTCAAGGATGCAATCGATCTGGCATATAAATTTGCTGACATGAATCTAGGTTCTTGAACGAATTACTGTTGGAAAGTAATTGTTGTTTTTCTCTGTTAACTCATGATGTATGTATAGCCTGTATAAAATATTTGACAACATTAATGATTTATTCTGCATACTTTTAGGGGACTAATGATTGTTTAATGTTTTCTTTTTTAATGTTTTAGTTGGTATCCTCTTCATTTTTAATCAAGTGTGTTTTTCACAAGAAAGTTCCAAACCAAATTCTATTAAAAAAATTAAAAAAAAAAGAAAAAAAATGCTAAGACAAATGAATGAAGAAAATGCTTCATTTACAGAATTTCAGTTGTTTTGGGTTTTTTTTTTTTTCTTTTTTACACTTGAAATAAAATAAAAAAAAAATATAAATTTCACCACATTTTCTGCTGAGGTCAGAACTTCTCAATACTGTTTTTTTTTTTTTTACATTAATGGTGTCAACATTTTATTTTTTTATACAAGATATACCTACAATAAGAAACAAAAACAAAAAAGATTTTAAGATTGCAATGAATATCACATTGGCCATTGGTTTCTATTGATTAATTAATCTCTATGGCTGCTCATGACTTTGAAGTAATTATTATCTTTCATTTTCAATGGATAAATAAAACAAATAATTATACAAGTCTTCTTTTCTTTTCTTTTTTTTTTTTCCTTTTTTATTACCTTCCCAACAATCTGTTGTTTAAGAATGTTTGTGCTCTCCAAAATGATAATAAAAATTAAAACTCAAACTACAGCTACTCATCACTTAACGACTTACCTGTTTAACAATCCATCTGTATAACTGGCTATAAAGCCTCATAAAATAAAATAAAAATCCATTTGGTATTATACAAAAACTTTAAGAGTGATTTATTCATTTTGAAGAAAGTGAAAAAATAAATAAAAATTGACTTGTACTGTATTTATGACACAAAGACCCAAATAATGTACAGAATAGAGAACGGATTTTAAAATTTGTTTATTGTTCAGTAGACAATTGTAATGTTCACATGGCTCAGTGGTTAGAACATTCGAATTTTGTCCATGTGACCCTGGTTCAAATCTCACCATGGTTGAATTATCTAGAAGGTGACCTGTGGAGGTAATCCTAGTGTGTGGCTCCACTGGAAACGACCTGAAACTGCAGGTTGACCCAAGCCTTGTGAGTAAAATTGGATAGACTGATCTATTTGGAAGCTGCGATGATAAGTCATTGTGACTAAGGATTTGGGCTTTATTCAGACTGTTAATCAGACCAGATGATGTGCTCTCTTCCAAAAGATAACTGCTCAGCGTAATTGCAGTATAAACCACAGATTGAACAAGCACAAATGTGCCTGAGGAGGCATCAGTAACAGGGATACTCCAATACGAGCAGCCAGACATTACACTGTTATAAATGGTGGAAAAGTGATGTTAAATCAGTCTGATGCCACAAAACCATTACACACGTATACCTGAAAGTGAGGAGTGGCTGTACAACATAATGTGGAATCTCCTTTAAATTGCATGCAAAAGTCTATAAGGTAAAAATCATCTTTGGTGAAGTTTGTTATTTTTTCCAGGTAAAATAAATTAGCACCTGAAATAAGGACCTAATTAATAATACCAGGCATGGAAAACTAATAAGTGAATCTTGTCTTGATTCAGAACCTGAAAGCAAGCAGACCAGTCTTCTGCTGCTTGAACACATGGTGCCAACAGAGTGCCCTGTCCATCCAGGGTATAGAGAACAGATCCTCTAATCAGAAGCAGAAGTGTTGATTTATGGTTGTGAGGCTATAATTTTCTAAATAAAAAAAAAGTTAGCACATTTATGTCTTAATGACATTTTGACCTTTGAGTTCTATTAAAATTCTAAACACAGCTTTTTAAAACAACAAACGTTACCAAGGGAGTAAAGGTATTTAAAATAATAGCAGTGTCAAGGCAAAACATCTTTTTGACATGACGTTTTATTGCAGGCACAAAGGTTAGATTGCCAATATTTTTAAGTCAATTAGGCTTTGACTAATATATATATATATATATATTTATATTGATTCTATGTATGATTTTTTTCTTTATATATATATATCTTACTTATTATAAAACGCAGATTGTGTGTGTGTGTGTCTGTAACGTTTATATATTGGATCGGATTTCCTACATTTTTCAACTGATTTCAACAAAATTTCACAGAACTACATAAAATTACCTTGCGGTGGTTCTAACAGCGCCAAAAATGGGAAAAATACAATTGTTTTTGCATAAAATCAATTTGGAAACACGATTAAGAGAAATCGTGGGAATGAAAGGGGGACAACTCACATCGGGTCAAAAACCCAGGTTGTTTGTGTGCGTGTGTATTCCTTTATATTATGGGATCGCATTTCCCACATTTTTCAGCCGATAAATCAAAAATTCACTTTTTTTTTTTTTTTGGCAGGTAGTGTTTCTTATTCTCTTGCACAGCCCCAAATATTTTAGCTCCCCAAAGTCATCCATTTATATGAACTTCAGCCCAAAACTTGCATGGGGCTGAAGGATTTTAGAAATTTGGTGATTCTCCAATTTTCATTAATTCAAATAAAGGTTTTCTTTGTTCCCTGTTTCTGCCTTCTTAATCAATTTTCCAAATTTTGGAGAATTATCCACCTTCCTTGGGAGTAGCCACAGGGATTGCTTCTTCCTTAACTCTATCCTGCTTCATTTCAAAACTTGCACTACTATGCTCAGGTGAAGCCAAACTCTGCTCCTTCCTTAATATATATATATAGAGAGAGAGAGATAGATATCTGCTCAGGCAGAGAGGAATTGCGACGAGGCACTGCCTTCCGGCAGAGTCTCGTCTGGGGTGGTAGACAGCTACTCGACCCCGTTTTTTACAGGGTCTACAGGAATTTTTTCCCCAAACCTACTGGCACGGATACCCCTCGTTAAATTCAGCCTTGTGCAGTTGGCAAATATCTTTGCTTCGGCAATTAGTTGGAGATTCGTCTCCAGCTGTGCTGGTTGAACTCTGTGCCTTCAGGCCGAGAGGAACCCAGACAAGGCTATGCTGAAGGGCAAAGTCTCGCCTGGGGTGTACAACCCAGTGTGTACAAGGTCTACAGGGAATTTTTGCCCAAGCCTATGGGCTCGGTTTTGCCCTACATTAAAAAACGGCCTTGTGCCACATCCTGCTCCAGTTATCAGAAAATACTGAAGCATTTGCACTGAAGCAATTCATTTATATGGGGAGGAGGAATGTGTGATCTTTTCCAGACTCATAAAAATTCACCTCGACCAAGGGCAAACAAAACTTCAAACTTGTGGAAGAAGGTGTGTACTGCCTCTTAACATATTGCTTCAAAACATTTTTGTTTTTCACCTTTTTAAGGTAAGCTTCTCCACAAGTTTTCCCTACAACCTGGATGGGAAAGCTTCTCTTCTTGATCTATGTTTTACCTCCATCCCCGAGTCCTGTAGTGCCACACAGCTCTGCCCTCTTGGCAACACCAATCATGCTGTAATGTCTGTTAAAGCTGGAATCGAGGCTTTCATCCCCTCAAGGAAATATACGGTCAAATCGCGCTCCTCCCCCTGGTCCTCAACTGCTTGCTCAGCTGCCATTTCCCATAGCAATCACTTCTTCCACCTATAGCATAGCGACATGTCTGATTGCAATAGACATCTCTTTGTCTCTGCCTGTAACGAATGTAAGCGTGTCCTCAATGAAGCAAAGTCACTATTTGCTGCTCAAATCAAAGAACGTATTGCATCTCGCAAATTTGGCTCCAAGGATTATTGGTGTCTCTGCAAGAGCGTACTTAACAATAGCAAACCCTTTATACCTTCTTTGTTCAACCAGTTTGAGGTTCTGACCTCTTCTGCTAACAAGGCTGAATGCTTTGCTCGGAAATTTTCATTCAATTCAATGATTGACTCTTCCGGTGTACCCACACCCAATTTCCCCCGTAGAACTGAGGCTCAATTGAGCAACTTGCACATAACCCTGTCATCGGTTCTGAGTATCATCTCTAAATTAGACTCCCACAAGGCTAGTGGTGGAGACGGGATACCTGCCATTGTCGTGAAAAAATGTGCACCTGAACTAGCCACTGCCCTCTCCAAATTATATCACTACTGCATCCATGAATCTTGTTTTCCGCCCTGTTTGGAAGTCCTCATCCGTTCTGACCCTTCTAATTACCGTCCTATCAGTTTCCTACTAACTCTTCAGTAAAGTCTTTGAAGCTTTAATCAACGCCGAAGTGTTTATGCACCTTACATCCCATAATCTGCTCACCGACAAGCAATATGGTTTCTGCTTTGTCCGTTCTACAGCTGATGTGCTTATGGCCATAACTGATATTGTTTATCAAGCACTTCATAATAACAGAGAAGCTCAAGCCGTGGCTATAGATATCTCCAAAGCATTTGATAGGGTTTGGCATGCTAGCCTTCTTCGCAAGGTTCAGGGTTGTGGAATTACAAGTTGATTGTTCGACTTAATATAATCATTCCTGTCAAACTGTGCATTGAAGGTCATTCTCAACGGATTCTCCTCCAACTCCTATCCCACGAACGCAGATGTTCCCCAAGGCTCTATCCTAAGCCCTACTCTGTTCCTTATCTTCATTAACAATTTTCCTGATGTCATAGGTTCCCAAGTAGGCATCTATGCAGATGACACTACTATTTACTCCTGCCTCAAAAACAAATCTAGTGTCGCCAACAAAACTAACCTGGCTGTTTGTCTAGAAAAAGACCTCCAATCAGTTGTGGACTGGGGCAGGAATTGGCAGGTTAACTTTAATGCCTCAAAAACAAAACTGCTCTCTATTAATCACCAGAGAGAACCATCCTAACACTCACCTCCACAAGAGCACCTCTTTGTGACTGCTCGGTCTCACATTGTCTGCTGATGGAACGAATACATTGAGTCAATATCTTCATCCACCGCTAGGAAAGTCGGCTCCCTGTGCCACACCAGGAAATTTTTCTCGCTGGAGTCAATCCTTCAAATCTACAATTCAACCATTCACCATTGCATGGAGTATTGC